GTGGTAGAATCAAAATATGACTATTCAAAAATGCTTGTAATGAGTTTATTTGAATAAAGATTATTTCTATTTCTATTGATTTTGAACATGTCATTATATATGGTCAAATAAATAGTATGCAAAATAGAATATTTTATTTAATACAGTAGCTTTCCCATAATTAGGTATATTACGTCAAAGCTGTTGTATTTTGACACCAAATTATAAATTTTACGATAAAAAGCATAAGTCATATATGTACACTCGTAACAATGGTGATTACAAATTTGATCAAAAAATATTTTGTTGTCTGTACTACTACTAATTTAATAGTCTCTTTTCTTTAATAACTCGCTATTTGATCACCTAATGCAAAAAGTATTATAAGAAAGGGGATCGGCATTTTATAACTGACTTAAAAATATGGATTACTATAAGCACAGATAAGATAATACTATAAGTAAGTTGCGTTTATAATATAATCAGAAATAGATTATCTTCATTGGGCATTTTATTGCCAAAGTACCTACTATTATACATTTATCCACCCAAGTCGCAGCTGACAGTTAGTGATCAAATACTCGTATATCTGTAGAAATCAAGTTCAAATTCCCGGATTTTTTAATGTAGTAATAGCATCATTATGTAATAAAGGAATGGCAAAGGAGCTGACGGCTATATACAAGAACTATCTACCCACCTCAGCTTCGCACGGGTGTTCACGTATTATACATATAAATCTTCTTCTGAATCACACTATCTATTAAAAAACTGCTTCAAAATCCGTTGCGTAGTTTTAAACATTTAAGCATACATAGGGATAGACAGCGACAGCGACTTTGTTTTATACTATGTAATGATAATGATTGCACTACAGATATGCGTTATGTACCACCTTTGATACCGCTCATGGGATGCCATTACAGATAAGATGTCATGCCTTACCTGTACTTTAATTGCCTTATCTCGCATCATACAACGAAACACATCTTACAAAACAAACTGCTTTACTACGCAGACGACTCTTTACAAATTATAAAACAGAATAATTAAATAAATAGTTTATTTACGTTATAATACAAAACGCCCTCTAGCGGAAAAAAAGTTGTCAGTCATTACAAGGTATAGTCTCGGAGGCGATTTGGACCGATCCATGACCAATCACTGCATTCCGTAAATATTTTTCCCGCCAAGCCCGATATGCGAAACCGGTTCACCTGTCTTCCTCAGTTTACTTAAAAATAGTTTATAACGTAATATCTTAAACGTTCAATATACATTGCCGTTTTTGCTTCGCAGTTAGTGAGATTGTGGTTAGAACTGTGTATAAAGTACGTAATGGATAATGTTTTATAGAAAATACTGTGAGTTGAGTTTGTATCATTATGTTACATAATTAGATTATACGCAGTATCCATTTTAATAATAGTAAAGAAAAGCCAAAAATGGAGGAGGAGAAAAAAAAAATAGTAAAGAACAATCTAATTTGTTAAAGCATTATTAAGTAGTAGTAGTAAGTAGTATCATCCGCCCCGGCTCTGCCTGGGTGCTCTGTAAAGCCATAGGTTAAGTAATTTTTGAGTTTAAAGATGAATTTCTTGGCATTTCATGGAGTCACCGTGCGGGTGTCAGGTCCATGGTGTGGCAGAGAGGGAAACTCCGAGCAGTTTTTTAGAAAAGGCCAAGGATCATGTCTATATAGACGTTATTTCGTATCATTATGTAAATATCTGTGGTATATATTTTTTTTAATGGATGATAATGTAATGGTGCACCCGCCTGCGCTAACGGTATACGCTGGCGGGGCACCAGTGGAGGATGATAGGATGAGCACGAGGTCAGGTCAGTTAGCACATCGTGACAAATTCACCAGTTCTTTATCACAATGTTTTCGAGTGGGAACCACGTGGAGTTCAACCTGACTAATTCAAATTCAATTCTTTATTCATGTAGGTCTATTACACTCTTATGATATGTCAGATCTACCGTCAGTTCAGAATGATATCGATATGAGAACTGAATAGAAACTCAGCTCGTATTCTTTTCAAATAAATGTTGTACATGTTTACAATAATACAGATACATTTTTAAATTCAAATTTGGGAGAATAGTGATTGAGAGAAATTGCTAGCAATGAGGTAATAAGTCCACATAAAATTTTTTTAATGAGCTGTTTGGGCTATTTTCAGTTGCCGGTGATTTAATCTTATTGTGTTTTTATACTTAACCCAAATAAATTAGTGCTGGTTGGTAGTTTGTATTCACACATTTCGACTTGTAAAATGTGAATTTACAAGGATTGTTTAAAAGAGCAACACACAAGTTTCTTGCTTATTCTTCTTGTGATGAGACAGCTTCCGAATATGCGGTAGATTTAAAAAAAAATTGTTGACTATTCAAAAGTGCTTAAATTAAGTTTATTTGAATAAATTATTTTCTATTCTGTTCTATTCAAAGTTCGCTACCTAGACCCGTCAGGGACAAGAATTGAAGGATATTCTTAGGAGCGATGGTTTTTATCTCCTCAGGATACAGTGTATACTTTCCAAAGGAGATATTTAGTTTATGCATGAGTGGGCTACAACCGCATAGGATGTGTAGTGGCGTTTCCTCTTCAGTTTGGCAGAATCTGTAGATTTTTGTCGTGCATAGGCCTAGTTTTGCCATATGCTTGTTTAATTTGCAGCATCCTTGAGGGCTGTAGTCATAATGCATATGTTGTTTTTTTTTACTACAATCACATGTAATGTGATATTACTAACAATCCCTTTTCCCTCTCTATGGTAAGCAATCAATACACTTAAGTTTAGATTTAAACTTGGAGTTCATTTAAGTTTTTCAGATCTTTTGGATGCATATGGGGTTAGACTAAAGGAACATATAATGAAACAATTGTATTTTAAAAAACTCTCAAATATTTTATTTAATATCTTTGGTTTTGACAAGTTAATAATAAATTACAATAATCGTCTACAAATTAAACAGAGAAAGAGGCCGTTCGAGTATTACGTAAGTAAGTTGATTAGAATTATTTACCCCCATCCCCCTTGTCAGCAAAAGTAAGCAAAGCTCTTACCTCCCCCCATGATTACGTACACATTTTTCAATTAATGTACTGCTTTTTAGCAAAGACAATGTGAGGGTTGCCAGTCGTGTAAAAAAGTAAATGACTACCTATGACGTCATCATCATCTAGACTCCCCCATCCCCCATGTCATCCAAAATAAGCAAAGCGAGGACCCCCTCCGCGCCCCCTCCATAGTGCTTACGTAATACTTGAACGGCCCCAAAGCTTAATATAAATGGACGTACAGTTCTATAGTTTATGGAAGATTTTATTTTAAAAATAAAGAAACAGGTTCAACTGCATTATTCTTTTTTACACTACGATGTTGGCAAACAGTCATACGGCCAATCTGATGGTAAACGGTTACCGTAGCCTATGGACGCCTGAGACACCAGGGGTGTCACACGTTGCCGACCCTTAAGAAACCTTAATATACCCTTCTTGAAAACCCCATGCTGTAGTGTCTTCTCAATTATCTTCTAACAATTTACTAACATACTGTTATAACATTTTTTCATAAAACATTAGAATAAAATAGAATCATAAACTTGACGACCTCGGTGGTCTAGCACACCGCTTTACGTCCGATGGTCCCGGGTTCGATTCCTCGCACGTCACAAACATTTGTATTCATGAGTATGATTGTTTGTATCGGTCTGGCTGTTTTCTATGCATAATATATATGTATTTACGAAAAAAAATATCTATGTATTTGTATCAATTATCTAGTACCTATAACACAAGCTTTAGCTAGCTTAACTTGGGTCTAGATGGCGCTGTGTGAATTATTTTTAAGTATTTTATTTGATCATTTTCATGTTTTAGTTGATATTATACAATAATATTTTTATGTATTTATTGTACATTAATTTAGTCGTCCAGATATTGGAATTTTTGTAAATTTAATATTACTTTATTTACCTAATTAAATATATATTAATTAACTTAGTATTACGTAAGACTTTGTCTGTGTAGAATTTAGTTATTATTCTTTATTGAAATAAATTAAGCTTCGAAAATCTGTATAAGTTACCTAAGTTTCTCCTTATGACATTACCTATCTATGAGTGAAAGTCTCGTCAAAATCATCCTGCACTTTCAGATTAGCAATAACAAAGAGATATAGTAAGAAAAGGGATTGTAACCGTAAAAGGGAAGCAACGATCCCAAATGCTAGCAATGTACCATGTCAGGTTGACCTCCACGCGGTTCCTAGAAACCATAGTGATAAATTCCTGGTGAATTTGTCACGATGTGCTAACTGACCTGACCTCATGCTCATCCTATCATCCTCCACTGATGCCCCGCCAGCGTATATCGATAGCGCAGGCGGGTGCACTGTTACCTTATCATTAATTAAAAGAATAAGTAGATATAGTCTATGAATATCTCATAGACAATATCCATTCATTCGTTCATTCGTTCAATCATTCACAAAAAAACTGCAACAAATTATTTATATTATATTCCTATACTAAATTATACTATTATTAAACCATTTAAAAATAAATACAATTCGTTCGTTTCATTCATTTATACATTGGAATAATTTCATTCGATTTGAATGTAAACCTATGATCATTATGTTGGTTTTTAGATACTAGCGTCGTGTCCCGACTTGGCTCGAGTCTACTTTACATAGTATAAAACAAAGTCGCTGTCGCTGTCTGTCCGTCCCTGGGTATGCTTAAATCTTTTAAAACTACGCAACGGATTTTGAAGCGGTTTCTTTTAATAACAATGTAAATTTAATTTTAAAAATTATTTTCAGTGTACCAAATAAACAATTTTCTTTCTTTCTTTCTTTCTTTCTAATAGATAGGTTTATAAGTATAATCATGTACACCCGAGTAGCTAGTTATTAATATAGTTAAACGGGTTTTAAAACGAATAATGTTATGTAAATTGACAATTTAACAAAACTATTTCGTTTTTTTATGACCGCTGGATGTGACTATAGCAAGTTGTGTATTTATTGATTTAATATTATTTTGTCCGCTTGTACATGCCCCCCTCACTTGAAATTTGTCGGGATCTATTCAAATTCATCTTTTATAGTACTATCTGTTGTTAAACAGTTTTAATTTTAGGTCAATTAATGTAAGAGCGATGCTTACTTTTAAATGTTATTTTATACGCCTCTACATGTCCTCCTCACTTGAAATTTATCTTGATCTATTCAAATTTATCTTTTATAGCACTATCGGTTGTTAATTAGTCTTAATTTTAGTTCAATTAATGTAAGAGCGATGCTATCTTTTAAATGTTATTTTGTACGCCTACACATGCCCCCCTCACTTGAAATTTATGTGGGTCTTTGCAAACTCGTCGTTTTTAGTACTATCTCTGGTTAAATAGTATTAGTTTTGGTTCAATTAACATAAGAGCGATGTTAACTCTTATAAACCGTAGCTCTGTAGATATGCACGTTATCTTCTTGCAGATGAGTTAGTCAGGCAACCAGTGGTGGGCCCGCCACAGGAGGCAGTAGTAACCGGAGTGCGTGTTGCTGCTTGAGGAGTTCGACTGTAACATATATACATACATATACATAATTGTAATAATAATATTTATTTTCTCACAAAACCATACATACATAGTGGAGGTCCTCTCGAATGGCAACGCAATGGTATCACGGATGTCACATGATAACGTGATGAGATATACGGATGTAGTGCTGTTCATGTATATAGGCGACGGTTACCACTTACTATCATGTACCATCACATTATAATAAACAATCAGTGGGCTAATTATGTAACACGATATGAAATTGTTTCTGTTGAAGTTGTGATGCAATATGAAATCATTTCAATTTAAAAAATGCGATCAAGTAAGGTCGAATGACCGCAACATAAATCATTTCTATCGATAAAACACTACTATGAAGTTGCAGCGGAATATTTTTAATCCGACCAATTTAAAAAGTCAGTACATTAGATAGCTTATACCTTTAGAGGGATACATTTTAATTTATTGGGTTGTTACACTAGTTGGTTGATTTGAAACAATTTTTATTGCGTTCAAAAATTACAAAATATACTGCAGCGTTCACTTGTTCTTTTATTTTAATTTTATTAATAGACATTTAATAAAATAAAATAAAGAAAGTCTATTCTATTCTAATGAAAAAATAAGGTTAATAATTTTGAATATAAAAGCATATTTTATACAAACTATTTATAATCATTATTAATATTAATCTAACCTACAAATTAAATTTTCTTTTCTGCTATAGATACCTAGGTACCTAATTTTATATTAAACATTTACTCTAGTTAATACAACATTCTATGTGATTTGGGACGAAAATAAAATATCGAATTGGCAACACTGATGTCATGTTGTGAGTCGTGACAATTTTCCCATTTTAATAAATTTAAAACCTTTTCACGACTTTCTACGTAATATTTAATATAATAAAAATATATGTAATACTGAAAATTACCAAAACAAGATAAATAATGCTGCTAATGCTGATATTTTAAAGATTGTAACCAAAAGAAACACCTTCTAAATTGTTTCTCATAATGTAAAAACCGTTTCAATTCCACGCTGTCATTTCGGCAAAATAGCGATTACGTGACGTTGCAACGAGGTTACTAAATCGACATTCGATAGAAATAATTTTTATCGATATGTAAAGTTGCGTTTACGTTGCAATGCTAGTTGACAGCGTCAAATGGCGTCAATATGATCGCATTATTGACAGATGACGTCATTTTCACTACGTTACATACGAAAATCGTTGCGAACGAAGTTACATAATTAGCCCACAGGGCCATATTCCGATAGTCGTGGGTTCGATTCGATGAAAATATGAATTCATGATTGAACTCCTAGAAAAACATTTCTATCAGTTGCCTAGTACTTGTAGTACATACTCTGTATAGATAAAGTCTAGATGACGCTGTTCGAATAGCCCAGGGGCTTTAGGGTTTAGATGGAGCTAGTCCAGGGGCTGTGTTATCATAGGTCGCCCTAACATCGAGATGGGTACTGTCCTACATCATCTACAGGGCGGGCCAAGGCCTGCGGCAATGACGCTCGTAGGTACATAGTGTGGTTTTTTTAATGGGTAAGAAACCCACACGAAAAAAAGTTATTTTAACCTGAGGCTTACGGCCACCTTTTACCATTGCACCGCTCGCCATCGTCAGGGAATTCATCACACGCTGGAACCTAAGTGGTCTCGGACAGTGCGGTTTCAGAGGAGTTTCCTCCCGCGTACTGTTATGCCAGAGCCCAATACCCTATTTACATCGTTATATAAAAACAGTTTAGACAGTTAGTCAAATCAGTCCGCGTCGATAACTCATTTCACTTGCACCTACATAGTTTGGGATAAGTTTGTTAATATAATAACTTGTGAAACCACATTTTCGAAATAAACTATCTAAAATTAAGTGACTTTTGTGTTGTGTATTAAATTTTTTTAAAAGCAAATGGGGTCAGCCGCCTAACAGTACACTTAGATTGTGGAATGAACTTCCTGCCGAGGTTTTCTCACGAGACTACAGCATGGGGTTTTTCAAGAAGGGTATATTAAGGTTTCTTAAGGCGGCAACGCGCACGTGATACCCCTGGTGTCTCAGACGTTCATAGACGGTAACCATTTACCATCAGATGGGCCGAGATGTTTCTTTGCGACCATAGTAATATAAAAAAAAATATTCCTCCCCACTTCCTTTCAACCCGTTCCCTCTATTTTCAACCCCATTTCCTCACCTGTTGAGGGACGTAGCGTTGTAACAGTGGACGGTAGCCGCGTCCGAAGGTGGCCAGCATGTCCCCGCCAGCAGCGAGACTGTCGTTACCACCATTGCTGTTACCAGCACCGCTGCCACGCCACCGCAGTGGTACTATCGCGCGGACCTGCCGTACATAAGCTTTGTAAAAGTGTCATATCTACATATATAAATAAAATTGGATGTTATTTATAAGGGATTGTTATGAGCTTATTACTAGAAATGTACCATGTCAGGTTGACCTCCACGCGGTTCCCCCTGGAAACCATCGTGATAAATTCTTGGTGAATTTGTCACGATGTGCTAACTGACCTGACCTCATGTTCATCTTATCATCCTCCACTGGTGCCCCGCCAGCGTAAACCGTTAGCGCAGGCGGGTGCACCATTTTTTTTGTACATAAACTGCATTTATTATATAATCAATGTTATTAAAATAAATAATATTACAAACTTGATAAAAGCTCAATTATCGTGCAATTATACTTCTATAGAGCTAACTTATATCTACATCATCGTTATATTTAGAATAGAATAGAATAGAAAATCATTTATTCAAATGAACTTAATTTAAGCACTTTTGAATAGTCAACATTTTTTTAAATCTACCGCTTATTCGGAAAGCTGTCTCATCACAAGAAGAATAAGCAAGAAACTTGTGTGTTGCTCTTTTAAACAATCCTTGTAAGTTCACATTTTACAAGTAGAAACGTGTGAATACAAACTACCAAACAGCACTAATTTATTTAGGCTCAAATAATATATATAAGTAATCATTACATATCATCCCTTAAAAAAAAATTAACAACAATTATTTCTCGCAAGTATTATCAGACTCCGTATCCTAATAACATAGGATACGGAGATGTGTACTCTCTAGGCCACCCATGTGTCCCATAATGAGTCACGAACTTTTGATACACGTCCGCGACCAAAACGAAACCTTAGCGCGTTTTAATTTGACAGTAGCGACATCTAGTTGGCGAGATGAGAAACAAGCTAAGGTAAGATTTCACCAAATATATATGTAACTCAAAGGTGACTGACATAGTGATCTATCAACGCACAGCCCAAACCACTAGACGGATCGGGATGAAATTTGGCATGCAGGTAGATGTTATGACGTAGGCATACGCTAAGAAAGGATTTTGATTAATTCTACCCCCATGGGGATAAAATAAGGGATGAAAGTTTGTATGAAACTTTGCCAATTTTAAACCGATTGGGCTGAGACTATGCATGCATAAAGCTACTATGACGTAGGCATCCCCTAAGAAAGGATTTTGATAAATTCCACCCCTAAGGGGATGAAAGTTTGTATAAATCTTATATTTTGTAGGCCCTAATATTTTACACATGCTGAACAAAAATAAAGCCGCAAAAACTACACCTAATTAATAATAATACTTACTACTACGCGAACGAAGCCGCGGGCAAAAGCTAGTCGTAGTATAAACACGTTCAAGGAAGCGGAGTTCAGCGTGAACTCGAAAACAAGAACGACGTTGATCTCGTTTTAGTTTAAATGGAATTCACCAGCGTTATACAGATCGCGTTTACCAAAATGAAGTTTAGATTTTCATTCGTTCACAGTGTTACACGCTCATGAAATAATATTTGATGCAATGGGTAATTTAACTAAAATAATTCTAAGAAATATTTGTAATTCAATCACGTGATAATTAGGATAATTATAATCTCAGAACAATTCACACAGCGCCATCTAGACCCAAATTAAAGCTAAAGCTTGTGTTATGGGTACTAGATCACTGATACATATATATAGATATGTTTTTTCGTAAATATATTATATATAGAAAACACCCAGACCGATACAAACAATCATACTCATGAATACAAATGTTTGTGCCGTGTGAGGAATCGAACCCGCGACCATCGGTAGTAAGGCGGTGTGCTAGACCGCTAGACCACCGAGGTCGTCAAGTCAAGAAAATAAGCTTTTTAGTTTTTAATTTAATAAGTACTGTTGACTACAAAGTACATAACACCAAACCGTAAAACACATGACAAACGAATAAATTATATACTCAGTATTATTCGTAGAGTTCCATTTTCAAAATTTTTTTTTTTTTATTATATTGTTTTCAAGTAGCCAGTTCTAAAAACTTTTAGTGTAAGAAAGAAAGAAAGAAAGAAAGCAAGAAAGAAAGAAAAATATTTTAGTGTAGCCCTCGTATATATACATACGACAAATAACCGATTATTACTCAATGAAAGAATAACCGATTCATTTGAAACGATTTTCTTGTCTCAGTTTTTTATGGGTGGCTTCCGTATCCTATTATTATAGGATACGGAGACACTGTGTTCCTTCAGGCCACCCACGTGTCCTGAACAACAAATCTGCAGTACATGTCTGCGACCAAAACGAAACCGTAGCGCGTTTTAATTTGACCCTAGCGACATCTAGTTGGCCAGATGAGAAACAAACGAGAGAAACTCTAACTCATTTCAATTTAACAATACAGAGACATCTAGTATCGAGATAATAGTTAGAGAGATGAGAAGTAACGAAAACCTAACGCATTTTAAATGATAATAGCGACATCTAGTTGGCGAGATAAGAAACAAACTGAAGTGAAACTCTTACCAGTTTCTAAAAACTCTGACAGTAGCGACATCTAGTTGGCGAGATGAGAAACAAAATAAAGTGAAACTCATTTCAATTTAACAATCACAGAGACATCTAGTTAGAAAGATGAGAAGATACGAAAACTTAGCGCGTTTTAATTTGACAGTAGCGACATCTAGTTGGCGAGATGAGAAACAATGAGAAACCCTAACTCATTGAAAACACTCAAGAAACAAACTGTAGTGAACCGTTCCTTTACAAAACCGTTCCTTATACAAGTACAAGTAGAGACATCTAGTTAGAGAGATGAGAAGAAATGAAAACTTAGCGCGTTTTAATTTGACAGTAGCGACATCTAGTTAGCGAGGTGAGAAACAAACTAAAGTAAAACTTTATCCTAGGAGTCTGTAATAGACCTACTCGAATAAATATATTTTGATTTTGACTGATTTTACAGCAAAAAAACCATTGCTGGGTCAGCTAGTATGTTAAATAAATTCAAATTCAAAATTCAATCCTTTGGTTCGTGGGATCCTAGCGCTATAAGACGTTTCAAAGAAATAACGAAAAGGTTAGTCGACATCACAAAAGGCCGAAGAGCTGGCAGCTACCTCGGACAAAGAATTAGTCTAGCTATTCAAAGAGGGAACGCTGCCAGTATCAACGGAACTTTGCCTAAAGGGACCCCTTTTAATAATATATTTTAGTTATTGTATTACATTTGTTAAGCTTTTTAATTTTAGGTTGTAGTAAGTATTATATAAATGTCAAATTATTTTATTCATATTATGACATAGGCATCCCCTAAGGAAGGATTTTGATAAATTCCACCCCTAAGGGGATAAAATAGGGGATGAAAGTTTGTATAAATCTTAGATTTTGTAGTACCTAATTTTTTATAGGACATTTTGGCTACTTATGAACGTAATTTTTTTTATAGTATAATTTTTTCCCTACCGTCCAGTTCGGTATATAGATCCAATTGAGAAGAACTGGCAAGAAACTCAATTGAATTACTTCTTTTTTTAAAGTTTATTTACAATGTATATTTATATAGGTGTCTATGTCTAACATTAAATGAAAATTCAGTGCATGAACAACTATTGCCATGCACGCTCGTCATTCAAGTAATCGTTTAGTGAGTGATAGGCTTTCCTCAGTAAATATGATTTAAGAGATGTTTTGAATTTGTTTAAGGGTAATTCCAGTATATATAAGGGGTCCTCACCTCCTCCTCGTAGGGCCTGAAGACCGTGAGGGGGCTGAGGGCGGTGGCGTCGGCCACGATGATGCAGCCCCACGCCGTGCCAGCAAACACCAGCCCTCGTAACACGCACATCGCCGTCACCTGCCACCAACAGACAGACAGATATACTCTGGTAAATTAAAACGTTAAAGACCGTATGCCCACCGGTGGGCAATGCCACCTCCGCAACGATATATCGTGCCCACGGGTGGGCAAACAACATGTTTTACATATATACATATAAATCAAATTGGAATGTCTGTTTGTAATATTGAAATAACCGTTTTTTACTACATGCATATGAATATAAATACGGTACATACACCAAAATAACATTTTTTTAAATTTTTGTCTGTCTGTCTTGTTGTCTGTGTTCTGGCTAATCTCAGAAATGGCTGGACCGATTTTGACGGGACTTTTTTTGGTACGCAGCTAATGTAATAAGGAGTAACTTAGGCTACTTTTATTTTAGAAAAATAAAGTTAAATTCCACGCGGACGAAGTCGCAGGAACAGCTAGTTATTAATAAAAAAAAAGACGTGATGGTACTGACGGTGCAGCGCTCGTCTGCGAGGTGGTCGTCGATGGCGATGGACTGCAGGCTCTCGGAGCACGGCACCAGCTTGCTGCAGTCCAGGCGCGCGCACTGCTGCCGGCTGCGCACGCACCACTGGTACACGCACACGCCTGCACGCACCGCCACGTCATCATCACGGTACCGGGACGTCATCATCATATCACCGGGAGGTCATCATCATATCATCGGGACGTCATCATCATATCATCGGGACATGATCATCACGTTACCGGGACGTCATCATCACGTCACATCACCAGGCGACGTGGCAGTGACGTGACAGTTGGTTTAACATTATTATTGTGACATACAATGAGATTAAAATGCAAATATAAAGTAATTAGGAAAATAAGTCTCCAAATGTGATAATAGATTAATATTTTATTTTTGGATATATTGGGCTTAAATCTAGTACCCATCCAATATCCATTCCCGGAGTCGATGTAGGGGCAAATGGCCCTTGAGGTTCCAACCTTGACCCCCCAGGGGGTTGTAACCAGGGTTACCACTTACTGTTAGTTTTTTTTTGCCATTCACCATTACTTCAAATAATCAGTAGTGTGGCATCACTACTCCAGGATATCCCGGGCTGAGCGTGGGCGAGGTAGTACCTGGGCGGCAGGCGGCCAGCACGTAGGGCTCCGAGGGCAGCGCGGCCAGCAGCGACACCCCCCGCGCCTGCAGGCGGCTGGCGCCCCGCACCCCGCCCGCGCCCACGCTGTACGCCTGCAGCCCCTCCCCGCCCGCCCACACCTCCACCCTGCGCACCACGCACCCTTGTCTGCTCTCCGGCTCGAAGGACCAACGAGTACAGTGTCGGTCCTTCGAGCCGGACGGCTCCAATATCTTTAGCATCGTAGCAATCTTTTTCCATATAGAATCATTAAAAATTAACTGATTCCGAATATAAAATTTTAGGTCCTATGTCCTTAAACAATGTCCAATATATATCAGAGTTTTACACAGTCTAGTGGTTACGAATATTGTTACACTTCCGATGGTCACAAGTTCGTTTTCTTGCTAGATACATACATTTGTGTTCATGTTGTCATCGATTTTGGTATTATCTACGCACGAGTATGTCAGATGTGTTTAAAAAAAACTGTATTTATGAGTTATCTAGTACCCATAACACAGGGTAGCCTTAGTTTAGGACTAGATGGCGCTGTTTGAGTTGTCCTGAGTAAAATATTATGCATGCATTCAATCCTGAGAGGTAGTTACGTACCCCTGCGGCGTAGGCACCGCAGCCAGGCAGCGCAGGTCGGTGGCGGCGCCCAGCTCCGTCAGCACGAAGCTGCCTTCCGAGCCTTCCTCCCCACCCTCATCTGCTCCCGGACGCTCAGACCGCACCAGGAACAGTCTGCGGATACCATATACTCGGTTTAACGGTTTTTTTTAAATCGATGATAATGAAATGGTGATGAATGAGATCATCTGTCCACATTACTAACAATCCCCTTTCCCCTCTATAGGCGACGGTTACCACTTGCCATCGGTTTGATGGTCATTCCGGTTAACACAAGTGAAGTGTAGTACAGCGAAAGTACCAGGACAACATGAATTTGTAGATGGTTTGGAGCGCGGATCGTGACCAATTCACTAGGAATTTATAACATTTTATGCTTCGGACTATCTAGTAGTTCATGTTGTCCTGGTATTTTGACTGTAGTATCACAGTTTTCTACTCTGTACAACGAAGATGGTACCACTTACCATCAAACATCCTGCCTGATGGTGAGTGGTAACCGTCGTCTATATACATGAATACGTTGTTGCTATTCCGCAGTTTCCCTGCAATTTCACTATCGTGTTGCTGCACACTACCTAGTAGTTCATGCTGTCCTGGTACTTTGACTGTAGTATCGTAGTACATTTCGTACTGTATACTGCCGTGCTGCGCCGTCTACCGCCTCCCGCGGAGTACGGTAGGTGGTAAATGGTAGATGGTAAGTGGTAGGTGGTAAGTGGTAGGTGGTAAGTGGTAGGTGGTACCTGCCGCAGGCGAGTGCAACAGCGACACGGCGTAAGGTCAGCAGCGGCAGTAGCGCCGCCACCGGTGACGCCGCGCCTCCCACCACCTCCTGCAGCGCCACGCCCCACTCCTCCGCGCACGTGGCCGCCCTGCCACCACACGCTACTGTTACCACTCGATAATAAACACTCACTAAATGTTCACTACTAAATAATATAACATCGAAATAATTTAAGAAAATATGAATCCAATTGTACAGGCTACTATCATTACATAGTATAAAAAAAAGTCGCTATCGCTGTCTGTCTCTATGTATGCTTAAATCTTTAAAACTACGCAACGGATTTTGAAGCGGTTTTTTTTAATTGATAGAGTGATTCAAGAGGAAGGTTTATATGTATATATAATAACTGTACACCCGTGCGAAGACGGGATCAGTAGCTAGTTTAGTATATGACCTACTACTATCTGTCGTCATTCTAAATATATATAACTCAAAGGTGACTGACATAGTGATCTATCAACGCACAGCCCAAACCACTGGACGGATCGGGCTGAAATTTGGCATGCAGGTAGATGTTATGACGTACGCATCTGCTAAGAAAGGATTTTGATTAATTCTACCCCCAAGGGGATAAAATAGGGGATGAAAGTTTATATGAAACTTTATCAATTTTAAACGGATCGTGCTGAGACTTTGCATGCATAAAGCTACTATAACATAAAAATTCCCTCTTAAGGGATATATTAACGCGAGCGAAGTTGCGGGCAAAAGCTAGTTTAGTATACGACCTACCAGAAATTGGATATTCTATCCATTAAATAATGAAATGGACTTCTCCGCAAAAAGTCGATCATCAAAATCGGTTCAAGAAACAAACAGTTCTAAGGTAACATAAAACCAGTACCGCGGAAATTCTCCTTTTCCTAAATTAGTCGAACAGGCAGTTTTGTTACTAAAAGCAAACTTATGGCTCGTGAAACAACAACAGGTCTAGGTGACCAATCTTCTCCTGGTTCAAGATGTTTTCGAGGGTTCTGCTCCTCAACCGACCCTCGAAAAGGCAGCTTACACTTACTGACTTCGTAATGTAACTATTTTAACTACTTTAGAAGGTTTTAGGCCACGAGAATATTATAATCGGGATCTGTTATTGGATGAGAGACAATTGCAGTTGTTAGGAATCTCACACGCTTGCTTCTCCGGGGCCTAGGAAATAGAAATAGAAATAGAAATAGAAATAATCTTTATTCAAATAAACTCATTACAAGTACTTTTGAATAGTCATATTTTGATTCTACCACTCATTCGGAATGCAGATTCATCACAAGAAGAATGAGCAAGAAACTTGTGTGTTGCTCTTTTTAATAGATGTTTTTTTTTTATATAAATAATTACAGTATAACAAGTAAGAGGCATGCGATAATCAACATAGAAGTCGCTACGCACTCATTATTAATGTAATCAGATAATATTGTCAGTGCTATGGATTTAAAGGAAGCTCAATGAGGGATTTTCTCCAATTGAAAAAAAAAATCGAAAAAGAATTATAGACTCGTTTTGACGTAACAATAATGATAAAAAAAATACAAACAAAAAAGGGACTATTAATATAAAACAGAAAGCAATGAATGCTGTGTCCATACGAGTAGACGGTGATGCGCGAGGCGCTGTCTCCGACCCAGACGCGGCTGCCCACCCGGCACAGCGCCGTCACACACACCCGCTCAGTCTTGTCTGCGGAACGACGGGACATACATACACAAATACACGTATACACCAATGTTTAATAATAATAACAATCTCAGGACAATTCACACAGCGCCATCTAGACCCAAGTTAAGCTAGCTAAAGCTTGTGTTATGGGTACTAGATAACTGATACAAATACATCGATAATTTTTTTTTTCGTAAATACATACACACATATTATAAATATATACATATAAAACACCCAGACCGACAAACAATCATACTCATAAATACAAATGTTTGTGCCGTGCGAGGAATCGAACCCGCGACCATCGGACGTAAAGCGGTGTGCTAGACCGCTAGACCACCGAGGTCGTCTTTCGTTCGTCGTTTGTATGTACTAATTAACTTTAATAATGAAATTCCTTCGGATGCCATTAACGTAGATAATAAGAATGACTTGAATGATGTTAATGATAAGGTTTTAGGTGAAAGTTACTCTGATGATGATAAAAATTTGAATTTTATAGCAGTGGAAGTTAAATGTATATTGTAATTTTAATTTTATTTAACCAAAAGGAAATCTTTTATAAAACAAACATTAGTAATAAACATTAGTAAGTAATAGTGTGATGACATAAGCGGTGGTGAGAGTAAACACACACAGTAGGGTGTAACTTGTATATTAACTGTTACATCTTGAATTACTCTAGCTTACACTAATTACATAAACTATATATATGAGCTACTGCGTCACCTACGTGTCGTTAGTTAAAACGTACACTCGCACAATCTACTATCGAACGTGCTTTGCATCACTATATCACAATAGAAACATCGGTAATAATTTTAATTTTCGTCGATTTTTTAAAAGCATTTGACAGGGTAACGCTTGCTATTCTTCTAACTTATTATTCCACTTTCATAAAACATATTTCATTTGCTTCTCGGGTAGTAATAGAAAGATTGGTAATCATTTCAGTTTTCGTCGATTTTTTAAAAGCATTTGACAAGGTAACGCTTGTTATTCTTCTAGCCACTTATTCCATAAAACTGTGTTTTCTCGTTAGTATTGAATTAGGTATCTTTGAGATTTATTTATATAGATATTTGGTTGATTGAGTTTTTCGCTTTGGTAGTCTAGCTAGCGGTTTCGCATACCGTCGTAATTCTGATGGTCGCGGGTTCTAACCTCGCACGGCACAAACATTTGTATCCATGAATATAAATATTTGTATCGATTTTTGTGACAAGTTATGCGTGTATTTACAAAAAATGACTTTACATATCCATCAGTTGTTTGATACCCTTGACACAAGCTCTGCTTAGCTTGGAACTAGATGGCGCTGTGTGGACTGTCCTATGTTATATGTATGTATTATGATACATGTCGGTGTCTCCACCAGCGACCGTCACCACACAGCGAACACTCACCTGGCGGCAGTCGGATGGTGTGGTGGTGCGTGAAGTGGTGTGTGGTGGCCAGCAGGCTGTGCACCCGCTCCGGCTCCTCCTCGCTGCCGTACCACACCTCCCACGCACTGCCCTCCTCGTCTGTACATACACAAAGATTTTTTTTGTATATGATGGTGACAAACAAGTTCGGGACCTTTAGGGCCCTAGTTACCTGGCAGCAGCGCTACAGGTCGAGGGCCGCGTACCTTTCGGGCCCTAGTCACCTGGTGGGGGCCACATCCCCGGTGTGGGACTTTCGGGGCCCTAGTTACCTGGCAGCAGCACGGGCAGGCCGAGGGCGGCGCGGGCCGGCCTGGCGGCGGCGGCGTCCCTGAGGGCGGGGTACTCGGGGGCTGCGACGACGGCCACCAGCGCAGCAGCCGACGGCCGCAGCTCGGGCGCGCCGGCCCAGCACCGCCGCATGCTCTCCAGCATGCAGCACGGGTACTGCAGGTCCTGCCCGCAGACGGTACGGTACAGGTCAATCTTATCATTCACCTCTAGTTTTATTTATTTCAGCCACCAAGCAGCTTGCATTGTAAACTGTATTTTGGCTCAAATAAGTCATAAGTTACCATATGCGGCACTTGATGACGCCAAAGCCAGTTGATCTCCAACTTACCCTTTGCGTCAGAGTAGGCCTGGCTCCCTCCAGCACGGCCTCCTTGACGGCTTCATGACCTTCAAAAGGCTGCCGTAGCGTCATAATTTCGTACAGCAGCATGCCGTATGAAAAACAGTCCACCTGGAAATAGTCGGCTATAAATTAGGAAACTGAGTGAAGATGCAGCAAAAAATTGAAACAGAATACAAGGTACAGAATTATTATAACTTTTAAACATTCGGGCTCCACCAAAAGAACTCTTTGTTCGTAAATGGAAATTTATGCTTTGGATCCGGCTCGATGGACCAATAATTAAGAATAGAATAGAATAGAATAGAAAATCATTTATTCAAATAAACTTAATTTAAGCACTTTTGAATAGTCATAACAATTTGTTTTTTATCTACCACTCGTTCGGAAAGCTGTCTCATCACAAGAAGAACGAGCAAGAAACTTGTGTGTTGCTCTTTTAAATAATCCTTGTAAGTTTACATTTACAAGTCGAAACGTGTGAATACAAACTACCAACAAGCACTAATTTTTTGGGTCAAATATAATCATGCAATAAGATTAAATCAGTCGTAGTGATAAGAGCAGACCAGTCCCTACAAGCAGCACTCGTTAAGGTTGTAGCATTAAAATTATAAGACTCTAAAGGTACTATAATTCAATACACTATATTCGAGTATATACACTCGTATACAAGGATTTCTTGGTCGATATCAATCCAACTAAAAAATTTAATACAAAACATAAACAAGATCTTTCAAAACGATATCGCGATGTAATTTTAAAACAGCGCCATCTATTGGCGTTGTATGCAAACAATAATTTATTGACAAATTAAGCTTCATTACATAGTATAAAACAAAGTCGCTGTCTGTCCGTCTCTATGTATGATTAAATCTTTAAAACTACGCAACGGATTTTGAAGGGGTCTTTTAAATAGAATAACTTAAGAGGAAGGTTTGTGTATATAATACATGTACACCAGTTTGAAGCCGGGGCGAGTAGTTAGTAAACTCTATCTATCTATGCCTGTCTATTACTAACCTTCTCATTGTACTCCTCCTCGCCGTTGTACCTCATGATCTCCGGCGCCATGAACCCCTCGGTCCCCCCGAAGCCTTTCGTACCTGACGGTGTCGCCAATCGGCTGATACCTGTAGCACAGTAATATAATAATAATAATAATCTCAGGACAATTCACACAGCGCCATCTAGACCCAAGTTAAGATAGCTAAAGCTTGTGTTATGGGTACTAGACAACTGATACAAATACATTTTTTTTTAAATACATACATATTATACATAGAAAACACCCAGACCGATACTAACAATGATACTCATGAATTCAAATGTTTGTCCGTGTGAGGGATCGAACCCGCGACCATCGGACGTAAAGCGGTGTGCTAGACCGCTAGACCACAGAGGTCGTCAAACAGTTCGTAAACAGTAGATTACTCTCAATAAAAGAAGAATGCTGTATTTTAGGAATAACGTCTAAGTAGCTGTGTCATGGTCCAGTGTCTTGAGTAGTCATGCTCACTAAAATGTACAGACATGTGGCGGCGTGGTGGACCGAGTCATTGGACTCTCTAAAATATGGTCGGGTCCAGTGATGGCTCATCCGTCATACTCGTGAACGAGTGCTCCTTGTACGGATTGGTCTGCTCCAATCACTACAACTGATTTAATTGTATAGTTACTTAACCAGTTGGTTGTGTATTTAATATTTGGACTCTAATGAATTAGTGCTCTTTGGTAGTTTGTATTGACACATTTCAGCTGTAAAATTCAAAGTTACAACAATTATTTAAAAAGACACGTAAGTTCTGAGAGATTCAGAGAGAGAGAAAATGAGAAAGAAAGAATGAGAGAGCAATACCGTAGTCTCCGAGCTTGATGTGCACAGGTACCGGGGCCGAGTTCCGCTCGACCGCTACCGCCTCGCCAGGGGCCGGCATGCTCCACACTAGCACGTTCTCCGACTGCACATTATAAAAGGTAGTGTGTCGTTAACCTTGACTTAGAGACACGGAAGGGAGTAGGAATTGGAGATGCAATTGATACATTAATAGATCAAGGTGTTACTAAGTTAAATGACACAGAAAAAGTAGCAGTAGTGATAAAAAGCCCGTTTTTGGATTTGAGTTCCGCGTTTGATGCGGTTGACCACAGTATTTTTTTGACAAAACTTGAACATTACGATATCTCGGATAGTTCGTCAAAACTCTTTCAATCATACTTAACAAATAGGAAATAATTTGTAGAAATGAGTAAATTAGTTTAGCAAATAACAGGAGTCGTACCACAAGGATCTATTCTGGGACCTATAATTTTTGTTTAAAGTGGGGGGGCGGTACCTTGAGGTCCCTGTAGACGACGCGGCGCGCGTGCAGGTACTCGAGCGCGCGCGCGGCCTGCAGCGACAGCGCGCGGGCCACCCGCGGACCCACGCGCGCGCCCGTGTCGCGGTACGACCGCAGCACGCCGTCCAGCGCACCCTGTATACCACATACACATCACACCTCACACTCTACGACTCTCTCACGACATTCAATTGCACGCAGCATCAACAGCCACTTTTAGAGAAGAAATTCAGTTTGTGCCGTTGGCCAATTTTAGGTTCACATTCTTAAGTGTAAGACCTAAAGTTTCATAGATCCTTCGTAATGGTTAATTCTGATACTCATGGTGTAAATGCGAGGTAGGACTAGGTGCGGATGACATAGGAGGGACATGTTATGATTGAAGAGTGCTGAGAGGTGAAATGATTCGAGAGGAGAGGGAGGTGAAGGAGACGGTACCTGCGGCGCGAGGTCCAGCAGCAGCGCGAGCGGGGCGGGGCAGACGGCGAGCAGCGGCAGCACGTGCGGGTGTCGCAGGCGGCCGAGGATGGCCAGCTCCTGCCGCAGCCCGCAGTACGCGCGGCAGGCCGCCGCCGCCGGCTCGCGCTCCCACCGCGCCTGCGCCGCCTGCGACCGGGACCACCAGCTCGTACACATACGCTCGTCGAGGAATGTGTGTGCAAAGGTATACAATATACAATAGCGTACACGATCTCGTATACTTCAAGCCTATATGTTAAAGGTTATTAAATTGACATGTATCGATCATAATATAAGGTCTTAATTCTCAGAGATGGGACCTACAAGTCCCCGAACGGACATGACGACTTTTATACGGAGAACGAGAAAGACGTTGGGCAGGGCACACACTCGTATCCATTCGGTCACATAAGTTCGCAATTTTTAAAGACGGGATCTTTAGGTCCTCAATACGCAGGTCACAACAATATAAGGCAATAAGGAAGACGTCAGGCAGGGCATACGCTCATATACTTTCGGTGACATAAGTTCGTAATTCCTGGCGTTCATTTGATCGTCAGTTCGCAATTCCCGAAGATAGATCATTAGGGACATTCAGTCCTGTCTTCAGGAATCAGGACGACCGTATGTATATTGAGAGAGAAACAAACGGGAGTACCTATGTTACTTCTCAATCTTTCTGTGTTTCTGTGTTTAAATAAAGTTCCAATTCTCCAAGACGGGACCTTTGAGCGCTCGATCCGTAAACTCAATAGGCATAAATTCTGCATGAACTCTCAATTTACAAACGAGATCTTCAGTTCCCCAAACGGTTCCGACGACCAGTACTTAGAAGACACACACGCGGGTACCTTCAGCTAGATAAGCTCTTAATTTTGAGACGGGACCTTCGGGCCCCGACGGTACCGGAGTAGGAACAGAGCGCGGTACCTTGTAGGCGTGCAGCGCGGCGGCGTCGTGGGCGCGGTGCGGGAGGCGCGGCGGCGGCACCGGCTGCAGCGCCTTGAGCGCGGCCGGGCGCGACCTCCACGAGGCCGCCAGCACCGTCCCGAACGCGCCGCGCCCCGCCACCGCCCCCGCGCGGACCGAGCACCAGCGCGCGCGACGCTCCTCCGGCACGTCCAGCAGCAGCTGCACGCACCCACCACACACCGCGCATCAACACGCTGCCACGACCAGCAGCCGCACACACCGACCACACACCACGCATCAACACGCGGCGACGACCAGCAGCCGCACACACCCACCACACACCACGCATCAACACGCTGCGACGACCAGCAGCCGCACACACCGACCACACACCACGCATCAACACGCGGCGACGACCAGCAGCCGCACACACCGACCACACACCACGCATCAACACGCGGCGACGACCAGCAGCCGCACACACCGACCACACACCACGCATCAACACGCGGCGACGACCAGCAGCCGCACACACCGACCACACACCACGCATCAACACGCTGCGACGACCAGCAGCCGCACACACCGACCACACACCACGCATCAACACGCTGCGACGACCAGCAGCCGCACACACCGACCACACACCACGCATCAACACGCTGCGACGACCAGCAGCCGCACACACCGACCACACACCACGCATCAACACGCTGCGACGACCAGCAGCCGCACACACCGACCACACACCACGCATCAACACGCTGCGACGACCAGCAGCCGCACACACCGACCACACACCACGCATCAACACGCTGCGACGACCAGCAGCCGCACACACCGACCACACACCACGCATCAACACGCTGCGGTGACGGTTACCGTCACATAAATCACACGCTTGCCACCATAGTGGTCTAGCGGTTTAACACATCGCTTTACATCCGATGGTGAATTCGATTCCTCGCACGGCACAAATATTTGTACTCATGAGTATGAATGTTTTATCGGTCTGGGTGTCTTCTATGTGTAACATGTATATATTTAAGAAAAAAAACAAGCTTTAGCTAGCTTAACTTCGGTCTAGATGGCGCTGTGTGAATTGTCATGAGAGAACACAACAACGCGCTTCTAATCGAGAGAGAAAGAGCCTGTTTGTATAACTTCCTCATATGTTATTAATTAAAACACCGGTATAGATTTGACGTATCTGTATTAAAGACTGACTTTACAACAATCATAAATAAAAAAGTAAATGCGCTTCAATCACCTAACACTAGAGCGCCATCTATGTTGAAATATTGTGACTAATTTTAGCCATTCCGCCCACCAAGAATATAATTCTTTCTCAATCCGCCCACCAAACCGCATTAATCATCTCCTTGTGTAGGTTTGGGGATATCATTGGGCAAAGGAATTAATTTTGAAAGTGGACGTTTCAAAATGGAATTTTTGCATTTAACAGTGACAACTCTCACTTCTCTATCTGGTCCTGTATGTAATTCTATTATTCGTGCCAGCAACCATTTTGAGGGTGGCATGTCCCTTTCTTTAAGTATTACCAGGTCACCTATTTTTGGATTTTCAGATTTTGAATTCCATTTATATCTTTGTTGCATAGTATGTAAAACCTCCTTGGACCAGCGGTCCCAAAAATGTTTCATCATTCTTTGTACCAGTTTCCATCTATGGAGTGGACTAATAACATCTCCTGTATCCTGCTTATCTGGTATCATTATTACTGGTTCTCCTATAAGAAAATGTGACGGTGTTAAGGGACTCAAATCATCTGGATGGTCGCTAAGTTGACATAGAGGCCTGGAATTTAGACATCCCTCTATCTGGCACAATACAGTAGACATTTCTTCGAATGTTAATGTTGTATCTCCGATTGTTTTAAGTAGATGTGTCTTCAGGGATCTTATATTGCTCTCCCAAAGACCTCCGAAATTAGGTGATCTTGGAGGAATAAAATGCCAAGTAGTTCCATCATTTTCTAGTAATTCAGCGACTTCTTTGATAACACCACTCATACTCTGATTCAACATTTGTGTTAACTCATTCGCTGCACCAACAACATTCAAGCCATTGTCACTCCACATGTCAGAACAGTGACCACGACGTGATACGAATCTGCGGAATGCTGCCATGAAACCATCAGTAGTAAGGTCGCTCACGGCTTCTAGATGAATGGCCTTAATCTTCATACAAATAAAAAGAGAAATGTACCCTTTATAGGATTTTTGTCCTCTACCCTTTGACACACGCATCTGTATGGGGCCAGCAAAATCCACACCACATGACTGAAATGGTCTCCCTGGATTGACACGTACAGACGGTAATTCTCCCATGAGTGGTTGTTGTGGTTTAGCGTTATATCTGATACATAATGTACATTTACTTAGGATTTTTTTTACTAACGGTTTCAATCTAATTATCCAATAACGGGATCTGATGTAATTCATCGTCAGAGCAGTTCCTCCGTGCATCACTCTTTTATGTGCATCTCTTATCAACAACTCCGCCAAGTGAGTTTTATTTGGTATTATTATTGGATGTTTATGTTCTTGAGATATTTTTGCAGCTTGCAAACGACCACCCACTCGCAATAAGTCATTTTCATCTATATATGGTGTTAAGGAGATGAGCTTACTACGCCTTTTTAATATATTTTTCTCCTTTAAATCTGCAATTTCTTCTTCAAAATTATAAATTTGAATTACCTTAATACAATTATCTAATGTAGTCTTCATTTCAGCAGCAGTAAGGTAAGCGGGCAATATTTTTCTACTATTCTTTTTGTCTTTTAAATTTAGAAATCTTCTGCAATATGTAAGTACTCTTATCATTTTTTGTAAGTCTGAAAATCTTTGTATAATTGTTTGTGATTCATTTGTAACAAGGAATATATTTGTGTATTGTTTCTTTTCTTCCAGTTGAGTTGTAGGTACCGCTGTCTTCTTTGTATTTAGCAATCTTTCACTTAGCCAGTATGGTCCTCTCCACCACAATTGGTTTTTATTTAAATCTGCAGGGTCAAGTCCTCGTGAAGCAATATCAGCTGGATTTTCTTCTGAAGAAACATGGTTCCATCTATCATTATCCAGACGTGTTTGTATTTCTGTTATACGGTTTGCTACAAAAGTTTGCCATCTGATTGGTTGTGATTGTATCCAAGCCAGGACTACCGTTGAGTCTGTATATGCATAAACTTGATTTTTAGGTACCTTAGATTTCATTATGTTGTTTGCTTCTGACAGAAGTTTCGCCAAAAGAACAGCAGCACATAATTCTAATCTTGCTATCGAAATTTGTTTCAGAGGTGCTACCTTTGTTTTACTTTCAAGAATGTTAACTGTTACATTTTCTCCTTGTATGACTCTCACGTAAACTACGGCAGCATAGGCAGAAATTGATGCGTCAGCAAATCCAACAAGCTCAATTCGTTCATTTTCTGGATGTATATGAAGCCATCTATCTATCTGTATATTTTGTAGTGTATATAATTGATTTCTAAAATGTAACCATTCTCGTGCTATGTCATGTGATATCTCTTCATCCCATTCTGCATTTGATAACCATAATTTTTGTATTAATATTTTAGCTTTAATAATCACAGGGGAGAGCCAGCCAAAGGGGTCAAATAGTCTAGCTACGTCAGATAAAATGTTGCGTTTTGTTATGGGTTTCATTACTTCTGGTAGGTTTACTGAAATTTTAAATTTATCATCATTTCTGTCCCATGAAATTCCTAAAATTTTAATAATTTGATCAAATTTTATTTCGTAACTTTCAGTTGATTCACTATTCTGTTTTATTTTTTTCAATAGATTGTCAGAGTTGCTTGACCACTTCTGCAGTACAAAACCAGCACTCTTTAACAAAGCAGTTACTTCATGATAAATCTCTAAAGCCTGTGTTTCATCACTTGCTCCAGACATCATATCATCCATGTAAAAGGAATTTTTAACAATTTTTGCACCCAGTGGATATTTGCTTTGTTCGTCTTCGGCTACTTGCATTAAAGTTCTTACTGCCAAGTATGGAGCACTTGCCGTTCCAAAAGTCAAGGTCAGCAATTTGTATGTTTTAAGATCTTCGTGTGGATTGTCTTTCCAAATAATAAGTTGGTAAGAGGTATGATTTTCTGCTACCAACACTTGGCGATACATTTTAATAATATCACTAACTAATGCTATTTTGTGCTGTCGCCATTCTATAATCAATGTACATAAATCTTTTTGTATTACAGGTCCAGTAAGAAGGGTATCATTCAATGATTGTCCTTTGGATCCCTTCGCAGAAGCATCATATACTACTCTTAACTTAGTTGTATCTTTATCTTCTCTTATTATTGCATGATGTGGTAAATATATACTATCTTCATAATCTGTCTCAACTAGTGACATATGTCCTAATTCTTCATATTCTTTTATGACCTTTCTATATTCTTCTTTTAAGTTTTTATTGTTTGCAAATTTTTTCTCTAATTGTAAAAATCTATATGTTGCCATTTCCTTTGTTCTTCCACATTTGTCTACTGGAGTTATTACGTCCTGCTTGAAAGGTAAGTTAACCATATATCTTCCTGATTCTGTTCTAACAGTAGTCTCTTTATATATCTCCTCAGATCTTTTTTCATCCTTTGTTAATTTTCTCTCACAGGTGAGTACTTCATTTTCTACTTCCCAGAACTTTCTTAATAACTCATTATCACATACACATAAATGCATGCTAATTGTTTGTTTTTGTTTTACAGGTTGTTTGTCCTCAGTATCACCGGAAAGAATCCAGCCCAGGTGTGTTTTTTGAGCTAAATACCCAGATGGACTCTTTATCAATCCCATATCTATGATTTTACAATATACTTCTGACCCAAGCAGCAGATGAACCTTGCTTGGTGTGTTAAAATATGGATCTGCTAATACAATTTCTTGCAGTTCGGGCCAGTTAGATATGTTGATTGATTGTGTAGGTAAGTATTTTGTAATAGACTTTAAAATAGAAGCCTTGACGATTATTGTGAAATTAGGGTTGTGTCTAGACTGCAGTGGTACTTCAACCATGTATTTGGTCTGAAGTTGATTTCTGTCATCCAAACCTGACACTACCCCGTCGATTCTTATCTTCTTCAAACCCATAGTTTGAACTAAATCCTCTGTTACAAAAGAGGATTGTGATCCTTGGTCAATGAGGGCACGGTAGATGTGTGTTTGTCCCTGACGTGAAGTCACATCTACTAGTGCGGTGGCTAAGAGTACTTGACCAGGTTGATATGCAAAATGTGATACTGTGTTTTGATTTGAGTCTTTATGACATTCTTCCCTTACAGATTCGTTTCTTTCCGGATGAAGCAATGAATGATGCTTTTTATTACATATACGACAAGCCGTCTTCCTCATACATCTTTGTGCCTGATGATTTGGTATTAAACAGTTAAAACACAGATTATTATTTTGTACAAATTCATGTTTTTCTTTATACTGTAAGTTTGCAAACTGTTTACATTGGTAAATATAATGAGCACTTTTGCAATATGAACATTTTACTGTCTCTATTATACCATGAAATGTTTTTTGTTTGTTTGACTTGGATGTATGATCTGTCATCTCTAATGACTTAAATCTGGTTTCTAAAAATTCTTTTAATTTGTCAAAATTTGGAAATTCATCTTTTTCATTTGAAACTTGTTGCTCCCACAGGCGATGAGTATCTGGATCTAATTTGGAAACTGTTAAATAAATAATTATTGTATCCCACTTGTGTGTAGGCAATCCCAGGTTTTTTAGTGAATTCAAACATTCCACTGTTGTATCTAATAATTGTTTAATATATATGGCATTTTCATTGTTTATATTTCTTAAGCCAAAAAGTTTTTTAAAAATGCAATTTGATATATATCTTTTGTTGTTATATCTATTTCTCAAAATTTCCCATGCTTGTATGTAATTTTCACTAGTTACTGAAATTGTCCGGAGTAATTGCTCAGCTTCGCCTGATAGACTTGATTTCAAATAGTGTAGTTTCTGAACATTATCTAGAGATTGATTCGTATGTATGATAGATTGGAATAAATCATGATATGACGGCCAATCTGTATATCTTCCTGAGAATAGCGGAATAGAAATAACCGGAAGCTTTATTTCTGCATTTGTTTTACTGGTATTTGTTAAGGCAGTACAATTTGAGAGAGAAAGATCTTGAATTTTTGTTTTTAAATCACTTTTGTAGGTTATGTATGTTTCCTCACATGTTTCATATGCACTGGTACTAAAATAATTCAAATTGATTCTTTGTTCTTTAGAAATATTTGTTATTAAATGTTCATGAGTACTACTAAAACTTTGCCATGTTGTTTCTAAGTTCTCTAATCGTGTTTCCACATGAGTTAATGTAATTCTTGCTTTCGGCGTCTTGCCATAATTAATTTGAGATTTTTTAATAATTTCCAATCGTTCCTCTTGAAGAGCTAATAATTGACTTAATTTGTCCATTATAACTGTTCAATGTTTAATAAAATAACACTTAAATGAGTTTTTAGCACTAATTTTAGTTTATTGTCACTGATACCTAACCTCTCAGTCACTTTATTAACGTTTTTATTTTTAGTGAAATCTCGAAGTAATTCATGTAAATTATTTAATGTACTGAGTTATTATTGTAAACTGCACAAAACACATCCGGCTGAAGGACCATAATGTTTGTTTAACTTCCTAATATGTTATTAATTAAAACACCGGTATAGATTTGACGTATCTGTATTAAAGACTGACTTTACAACAATCATAAATAAAAAAGTAAATGCGCTTCAATCACCTAACACTAGAGCGCCATCTATGTTGAAATATTGTGACTAATTTTAGCCAGAGCCATTAGGCCACATTACTGACAATCCCCTGTCATCAACCCTAGCCAAATGACTATTAGTCTACATTATCAACAACCCCCTGTAATCCTCGTGGGTGTTGTACTCTACATTATTAACAATCCCCTGTAATCCTCGTGGGTGTTGTACTCTACATTATTAACAATCCCCTGTCACTCTCATGGGTGTAGTACCCCACATTACCAAATATCCCCTGTCACTCTCGTGGGTGTTGTACCCTGGTCGAGTGACTATCAGTCCACGTTACTAACAATAACAATCCTCTGTCACTCTCATAAATGTTATACCCTGGCCAGGTGACTATTAGTCCACATCACTAACAATCCCCTGTCTCTCTCGTGGGTGTAGTACCCCACATTATTAACAATCCCCTGTCACTCTCGTGTGTGTTCCCCCTGGGTGTAGTACTCACGGTGTCCGGCGCGACGTCCCTGTGCCGCACGTGTCCGTGGGCGACACAGTGCAGCTGCGCGGAGGTGCAGGCCGCCAGGATGGCCTCCTCAACCGTCCAGGCGTATACTACCACGCTCGGAGGACGTATCACGCCCTCCACCGAGCCCAGCCGGGACGACGCTACAAACAACATTGTACATATATATATTATTTTAATATTATAAACTAGCTGTTCGCTGCAACTTCGTCCGCGTGGAATTTAACTTTCATTTTCTAAAATAAAAAAAAAGCACCACTGTAGCCGGTGCTAAAGCCAAGGTACTCACAAATCTAATGTAAAGGGAATCCAAGTAAGGAGTTTTGTTTAAATTATATAAATATACATATATACTCACCGTTGGACTCTGCCCCCACGCCACTGTCGCCGTCCGACGCGCGCGACTCCTGCGACAGTCGCGGCCTGCCTCCCCCCGCATCCCCCGCGCCCCCCTCGCCCCCCGCCCCCCCGCCGTCACCGTCGTCCCCCGCGCCCAGCTCCAGCTGTCTGAACGCCTGGAACGTTCAAACATATATTATACAAACTTTTCCTGACATTAATATTTTTTATGAACGAAAATTTGTGGTGTGCTTTTTTTGATCCATTTCTATACAAAAAAAATGTTAGTTTACATTTTTGACTTTCAATATAGCATAGGGAAGAATCGTGCTTGCGGCTCACCTAAGTGATTACTGCCGCCCATGAGCAACCGAAAGACCAGGGGAATTGCAAGTACGTTGTCGGCCTTTTAAAAAGGAATAAGCTCTTTGAAGATTTCAATCGTATCGGTTCGGAAATACCATTGCTGGAAGGTGATTCCATAATGTGGTTGTGCGTTGCGAAGTTTCTAGAAAACCGCACTGTGGAGGACCGCCATTCATCCAGATGATCAGGATGGTATTTTAGTTTCTGGTGGTGAAACTCAGCAGCTGGTTAATCCGAACAATTCCTCAGATTTCAAATAAATATAAAAATCAAGTATAATTATACATGTATTATACATATAAACCTTCCTCTTTAAATTTTTTTATACTAGTTGGTGGCATACAAGCATACGGCCCATCTGATGGTTAACGGTTACCGTAGCCTATGGACGCCCGAAGCACTAAGGGTGTCACATACGTGTTGCCGACCCTTAAGAAACCTTAATATACCCTTTTTGAAAAACCCCATGCTGTAGTCTCGTGAGAAAACCTCGGCAAGAAGTTCATTCCACAATGTAAGTGTACGCGGGAGGAAGCTCCTCTGAAACCGCACTGTCCGAGACCACTTAGGTTCCAGCGTGTGGGGATGAATTCCCTGTCGATGGCGAGCGGTGCGATGGTAAAAGGTAGCCGTAGGCATCATGTCGAACAATTCCTCAGAACACAGTCCGAAGTGCGAAGCCGGGGCGAGTATGAAACTCGCCCCGGCTTCGCACGGGTGTACATGTATTATACATATAAACCTTTCTCTTGAATCACTCTATCTATTAAAAAAACTGATACAAAATCCGTTGCGTAGTTTTAAAGATTTAAGCACACATAGGGACAGACAGCGACAGCGACTTTGTTTTATACTATGTAATGATGATTATGGGATCCCATTCGGAGATATTTCAAACTTAGGTGGACTGTAAAAACTGGTCCTATATATATATAACGGCAATAATATTAAAATTTATGTCGTCACAAGTCAAAGGGATCCATGTATGAGTATCAGGGACGGACAGACAGCGACAGCGACTTTATTTTATACTATGTAATAAAGAAGGTTTCAACTATAAAGAACTTAGTAAAAGTGGTGTTATCTAAATGAAGAATTGAGTTTGAGACCTGTTGCAGGTGTTGGTGGTGGTCGAGTCCCCGGGCGGCGTCCCTCATGCAGGCGGGGCACGGCACCACGCGCGTGATGAGGCACCGCCCCTCCGACGTGTGCACGAACCGGGTCCCTGTCACCACGTGTGGCTGTATAACGAGCCCGGACACTCCACACAGCGCCATCTAGTCCCAAGCTAAGCAGAGCTTGTGTTATGGGTACTAGACAACTGATATAGAAATACAGACATTTTCTTTTGGAAATACATATGATCATCATCTGTTTCTTCCTTTGACGACCTCGGTGGTGTAGTGGTTTAGCACACCGATTTACGACCGATGGTCGCGGGTTCGATTCCTCACACGGCACAAACATTTGTATTCATGAGTATGATTGTTTGTATCGGTCTGGGTGTTTTCTATGTATAATATGTATTTATTTAGAAAAAAATATATCTATGTATATTGTATATGTATCAGTTGTCTAGTACCCATAACACAAGCTTTAGCTAGCTTAACTTGGGTCTAGATGGCGCTGTGTGAATTGTCCTGAGATTATTATTATTATTATCTCATTTACTTGTGGTCGTAATATGTTGTTCTCTTCCATTCATCTCTGTTCGCAGTCATCTCGTTATTCACTGGGGGTCTTACCTCTTATCATATCATCTTTCACACAGTCCATCTTTCGGCCTTCCTCTGCCCTTACTATTGTTAGAGTTCACATCAATATTGTAGAAATATCAGATATTTTAAAAAGATATTAATGTGATGTGTTTAGTACTAATGAAGTACCCAATGTAAGGATTATTACGAATATTGTAAATAGCGCCATCTAGTATGTATAGACCGACCTACTACACTGACTTTGGTCTATAAATACGGAGGTCGGTAGTTGAATAATCCTCTTTCGTTGCGTGAGTCGCGGCATTCAGTCGACGAGCGCAGAGGGTGCAGGTTGTGTTTTGTATACTAAAGTGAATTGTATTAGCAATGGGTTTATCCCGGTCTTAGTTGGGCCTGGGGGGAAGCTGCAAGTTGTGAAGGTGAGTGTTAATGTATTCTAAAAGGGCCTTATAAACCTACACCCGTATCACAAGTCACGGGCGCTACTTGGGGTTTCCCTTGCGGTAGCCGGCTTCAAAGCCTCAGTCATCACCATAATTAGTGCTTCTTACACTATGACCATTTGGGAGCCTCACCAAGTGACGGGTACCAGTCCTCAAGCAGCAGGTCCACGTGGTCGGACACCAGCGCTAGCACCTTCGCCAACGTCTCAGGGTTCGGTTCCAGACTGATGCTCTGTACATACAACGTTTGTAACAAAATTTCCATCCCGAATTTGAATTTAAATGAATCTGTATTATTGACGAGACAGATGGCCGTTGGGGCAGTAAAGTCCTTGAGTGGCGACCACGGACCGGAAGACGCAGTGGGAAGGCCTCCAGCATGGTGGACTGACGATCTGGTCAAGATCGCTGGAAGGCATTGGATGCGAGCAGCGCAGGACCGATCGTCGTGGAGATCTTTGGGGGAGGTCTATGTCCAGCTGTAGACGTCTTCCGGGCTGATGATAATGTATTATTGTAAACATTTATTTAAAAAGAATACGAGCTGAGTTTCATGTCAGCTCTCATCTTGAAATCATTCCGAACTGACGGTAGATTTGACATATCATAAGAGTCATAATAGACCTACATGAATAAAGATATTTTGAATTTGATACTAGCTGCAAACGTTGTTATGCCACGTAAATTAATATCGCTATTAAAAAATAGGGGTTGGTGATAGAAGGGTGAAAATTTAGGAATGTATGTATTTATAATGCCACATAAAAACATTTTTTTTTTCGAAATAAAGAAAAATGTTTTGGGGTGAACTACCATTATGAATTAGGGGTATATAAATTAGTATAATTAATAGACCTGCATGAATAGAGATATTTTGAATTTTAATTTTAATTGCTTGCTTGACTTTTTGCTTGCTTGCCGTTGATCTTCGGTAGCATTATGAAGTATTAAAAAAATAATCCTTGTGACCTGGTAGCCAGCTATAGGCAGTCCATCATCCCTCTTCACGACGCACACCTGCGCTGGCAGCATGATCTCGATGCAGGTGGACGCCTGCACCTCCAGGTCGCACCAGGCCCCTTCCTGACGCACCCTGAACCTGAGATGAGAACGGCATACGTTAACAAACAATGGTGCTATAAATAATGTGAAATAATAATCTTACTAATAAACTAGTTACACGCCCCGGCTTCGCCCGGGTGTACATGTATTATACATATAAACCTTCCTCTTGAATCACTCTATCTATTAAAAAAACAGCTACAAAATCCGTTGCGTAGTTTCAAAGATTTAAGCATACATAGCGACAGACAGCGACAGCGACTTTGTTTTATACTATGTAATGATGATTATGATGCGGAAATTTGTTAGTGTACTCTTTCACGCAAAAACTACAGAACGTATTTTGATGAACTTTACAGTAATATAGCTTATACATCTGAATAACACATCATTACATAGTATAAAACAAAGTCGCTGTCGCTGTCCGTCCCTATGTATGATTAAATCTTTAAAACTACGCAACGGATTTTGTAGCGGTTTTTTTAATAGATAGAGTGATTCAAGAGGAAGGTTTATATGTATAACTAGCTTTTGTCCGCAGCTTCAATTATAATCACAATCAATTTATCCCCTTGGGGGTAGAATTTATCAAAATCCTTTCTTAGCGGGTGCCTACGTCATAGTAGCTTTATGCAAGCAAAGTCTCAGCTCGATCGGTTTAAAATTGACAAAGTTTCATACAAACTTTCATCCCCTATTTTAGCCCCTTGGGGGTAGAATTAAACAAAATCCTTTCTTAGCGGATGCCTACGTCATAACATCTACCTGCATGCCAAATTTCAGCCCGATCCGTCCAGTGGTTTGGGCTGTGCGTTGATAGATCACTATGTCAGTCTCCTTTGAGTTATATATATTTAGATACATGTACACCCGTGCGAAACCGGGGCGAGTAACTAGTAGGCTATAATTTAAAAACATATGTTGTGTAAGTGTGATGCAGACGAAGTTGGCTAGTATAATTTCATACCTTCTACTGCTTCATGTTATCTTGGTACTTTTACTGGAGTGTTGCCGTTTAGTTTACGTCCAGCCTTATGCAAAGTTTGTCGAGTGGGGGAATGGGGATTGTTAGTAATGTGGACCCCATTCCTGACATGGTACATTGCTAGTACCATGTCAGGTTGACCTCCATGCAGTTCCCCTGGAAACCATCATTATACATTCCTGGTGAATTTGTCACGATGTGCTAACTGACCTGACCTCATGTTCTTATCATCCTCCACTGGTGCCCCGCCAGTAAACCGTTAGCGCAGGCGGGTGCACTATTCCATTATCATCATTAAAAAAAAGGTTGTCTAGTACCCATAACACTAGCTTTAGCTAGCTTAACTTGGGTCTAGATGTCGCTGTGTGAATTGTCCTGAGATTATTATTTTAATTTTCACTCAACAATTACTGTAATATACAAACTTGATGTCGTTATAAACTTCATCCGTGAGGTCCTCGTCGACGCAGGCTCCGAGGATGGCGTCCTTCCTGGGCGGCAGCTCCCTCAGCGCGAGCAGCGTCAGCTCGCCGCACACCAGCTTCATACCAGTCTTCCACAGCTTCCACGCCCAGTTCAGGTCCAACGCCTTGGTCAGCGCCTCGTCCGACTCGATCTGGAGTTATACAATTGTTAATTTAGGGAATGGGATTGATGGCCGTCATACTCGTGAACGGGTGCTGCTTGTGGGGACTGGTCTGTTCGGGTTACTGAATAGATTATTTCGTTTCGGCAAAATTGTAATATCATATGCTGGTGGTCACTCTATTCTCCCAAATTTGAATTTAAATGAATCTGTATTATTGTAAACATGTATAACATTTATTTGAAAAGAATACGAGCTGAGTTTCTTGTCAGTTCTTCTCATCTCGATATCATTCCGAACTGATGGTAGATTTGATATATCATAAGAGTCTGCCAGCAGGCGTGGCCACTGTCGGTGTGGGGTGTACCTGGTGCTGGTAGAGCTGCAGCGCGGCGGCCGTGAGGGCGGGGTCTGCCAGCAGTCTCGCGGCCAGGCGCGGCCAGAACCCTCGCGGCACGTACGACGCCGCCAGCAGTGTGGGGTGTACCTGGTGCTGGTAGAGCTGCAGCGCGGCGGCCGTGAGGGCGGGGTCTGCCAGCAGTCTCGCGGCCAGGCGCGGCCAGAACCCTCGCGGCACGTACGACGCCGCCAGCAGTGTGGGGTGTACCTGGTGCTGGTAGAGCTGCAGCGCGGCGGCCGTGAGGGCGGGGTCTGCCAGCAGTCTCGCGGCCAGGCGCGGCCAGAACCCTCGCGGCACGTACGACGCCGCCAGCAGTGTGGGGTGTACCTGGTGCTGGTAGAGCTGCAGCGCGGCGGCCGTGAGGGCGGGGTCTGCCAGCAGTCTCGCGGCCAGGCGCGGCCAGAACCCTCGCGGCACGTACGACGCCGCCAGCAGTGTGGGGTGTACCTGGTGCTGGTAGAGCTGCAGCGCGGCGGCCGTGAGGGCGGGGTCTGCCAGCAGTCTCGCGGCCAGGCGCGGCCAGAACCCTCGCGGCACGTACGACGCCGCCAGCAGTGTGGGGTGTACCTGGTGCTGGTAGAGCTGCAGCGCGGCGGCCGTGAGGGCGGGGTCTGCCAGCAGTCTCGCGGCCAGGCGCGGCCAGAACCCTCGCGGCACGTACGACGCCGCCAGCAGTGTGGGGTGTACCTGGTGCTGGTAGAGCTGCAGCGCGGCGGCCGTGAGGGCGGGGTCTGCCAGCAGTCTCGCGGCCAGGCGCGGCCAGAACCCTCGCGGCACGTACGACGCCGCCAGCAGTGTGGGGTGTACCTGGTGCTGGTAGAGCTGCAGCGCGGCGGCCGTGAGGGCGGGGTCTGCCAGCAGTCTCGCGGCCAGGCGCGGCCAGAACCCTCGCGGCACGTACGACGCCGCCAGCAGTGTGGGGTGTACCTGGTGCTGGTAGAGCTGCAGCGCGGCGGCCGTGAGGGCGGGGTCTGCCAGCAGTCTCGCGGCCAGGCGCGGCCAGAACCCTCGCGGCACGTACGACGCCGCCAGCAGCCTCCACAGCGCGCGCGGCGCCTGCGCCACCACCCGCACCGCCGGCTCGTCTGCACCACCCGCCACCGCTCACTCACCATCGTGCGAACGACCGAGGCCGTCGCGGGTTCGATTCCTCGCACGATGCATTTAATTCATTTGCCATGTAAAGCAGGTTATATTTAGAAACTCCAGTTACAAAATTATATATCAACTAACCACTCGTCCCGGCTTCGCACGGGTATACATCATTACATAATATAAAACAAAGTCGCTATCGTTGTCCGTCCCTATGTATGCTTAAATCTTTAAAACTACGCAACGAATTTTGAAGCGGTTTTTTTAATAGATAGAGTGATTCGAGAGGAAGGTTTATATGTATAATACATATACACCCGTGCGAAGCCGGGGCGAGTTGTTAGTGTATTATAACACTAGCCTAGCAGTATAATTATTACACACAGTGAAAGTACCAGGACAACATAAATTCATAGGTTCAGTTTAAAGTAAAAATTTAATAATAAAATTATAGAGTACAAAAAACATCTAACTAAAAAAAATCGCTTAATTTTAGACCTCCAGAATAGCCATATACGAATACCATAGGTATACAAGCGACGGTTACCACTAACCATCAGGCGGGATGTATGTTTGATCATCATCGTCGTGGTACAGAGAGGAAATTATACTGCGATATTACAGTCAAAGTACCAGGACAACATGAACTACTAGATAGTCTAAATCATAAAATATAATAGTGCAATTACAGGATAAGAGATATGACACCTTAGTTCTCTGGAATCACGACGGTTACCACTTACCATCATGCAGGTAAGCGTATTATTTAGTAGGAAATGTACTGCGATACTACAGTCAAAGTACCAGGACAACATGAACTACTAGATAGTGTGAAGTAACACAATAGTGAAATTGCAGGGAACGAAAGCATCTTAGAAGTGCGGAATAGCAACATGTGAATACTATGTACGTAACGTGATAACGTGATATAGTGCTGTTCATGTATATAGACGACGGTTACCACTTACCATCAGACTGGATGTTTGATGGTAAGTGGTACCATCTTCGTTGCACAAAATAGAAAATATACTGCAATACTACAGTCGAAGTACCAGGACAACATGAACTACTAGATAGTCTGAATCATAAAATATAATAGTGCAATTACAGGATAAGAGACATGACATCTTAGTCCTCTGTAATGACGACGGTTACCACTTATCATCATGCAGGTAAGCGTATTGTGTAGTTGGAAATGTACTGCGATACTACAGTCAAAGTACCAGGACAACATGAACTCCTAGATAGTCTGAAGCATAGAATGTGTAATTTACATACTGATGAGCGTGGGCGAGTCCGTGGCCCTGGACTGCAGAGCCCCAGCAGTCCCCACAGCCCCCACGGGCCCCGCAGCCCCCAGCGGCCAGGGGCGGCGCCCTGACGGCCAGGCACGTGACCGCAACGGCAACTACAACATACATTTGTATGGGGAATATTACTTTTTCCCTATTTATTTGTTAGTTTTTTTACTTTTTCTCTATTTACTGCTTGTAGGGATGCACCAATTGCTATATTTACTTCGATCTCTGTACGGTATATCTATACATCTATACATATAAATAAAATTGGAGTATCTGTTTATAATATTGAAATAACCGTTTAATAATTTAATTAAAAAAAGGGTTTTACAGGGTCGAAAGGGGAGATGAAAGCTTGTAGAATAGAATAGAAAATAGAAAATCATTTATTCAAATAAACTTACATTGAAGCACTTTTGAATAGTCATTACATTTTTTAATCTACCGCTCGTTTGGAAAGCTGTCTCATCACAAGAAGAACGAGCAAGAAACTTGCGTGTTGCTCTTTTAAATAATTTTATTATTACTTTACATTTTTAAGTTTAAGTGTGTGAATACAAACCACCAATTAGCACTAATTCAATTAAATACTCAAATAGAAAAAATATAGAATACATAACCAACTGGTTGAACAATTAATAAGAGGAAATCAGTCATAGTGATTAGAGCAGACCAGTCCCTACAAGCAGCACTAGTTCACGAGTATGACGGATGAGCCAGCCATCACTGCGCTCGACCATATTTTAGGGAGCGCAATGACCCGGCCCACCACGCCGCCACAAGTCTGGACATTTTAGTGAGCATGACTACTCAAAACACTAGACCACGTCATAGCTACTCACAATTGCCATCTGATAGTTATAGTATTCACATTTTACATAAGAATGCATGCGGCCATACAAAAACCGCTACGCTTTCATATTTCTAAAATCAATCAATTAAATCAAGAAAGCAATGGGAAAATAAAATTATAACGTTGTATGCTAATAAACTAATTATTTACTTGATATGTTGTCATCTATGAATTCGTCTATCCTGTAATAGGCTTTCTTACATAAAAATTGTTTAATATAAGATTTGAATTGCCTCTCTGTCAGATTTAATGCAGATTCTGGCAGTTTATTATAAAATCTTATATGGAAGTATCGACAATTTACGCGGACGAAGTCGCGGGCACATCTAGTGAACAAATGAAGTAAAACTACAACTACAAACTATAAAAAAAAAAGAAAAAAAAGAAAAAAAAAAAGGGGAAAGGGAAGTGAAAAAGGGAAAAAAAAATTGCCGAATTACGACAAAAAGTGAACTGTGAAATTAAACAATCAATAATTAAACAAAACCTGGACTATAACAAATAGTGAACTTTGAAAATAGTGTTAAAATAAGATTTCATATAATTGTATATGCAGTGTAAGAATTCATAATGTGTATTGTTACATTATGAATTCTTACATTGCACAATGTAATGAAAACTGTGAAATTAGTAGTAGTGTAAGATTTATATAATTGTATATGCATATTGATAAATCTAATCCTCCAAATAAAGATGGGTGACACTGCATGTTGTCAACTCACCCGGCCGGCCAGCGGTGGTTCTGGGCCAGACGGATAAGGTCTGCCTCGGTGTCACTGTTAGGCAAATTGTAACATCTCGGCTGGAGTTGTACAAAAGTGGAAATTAAATAAATATAATAATATTAAAGTAAATTAAAAAAGGCACGGAGACATATTCGGTCTGTGGAAAAATGTATTTGAATATAAAAAAAAAAAAAATTACAACAGTGTATAGGGTGTTACCTGGGGCGCGGGTGGCTCCCGGTCGGGCAGCAGCGGCGGCACGAGCAGCAGACGAGCGTCCCAGCACAGCGCCAGCTCGAACTTGTTCAGCAACGAGGCGGCCAACGAGCACGCCTCCTCGCCGCGGGACAGCAGCGGGGACGCCTTGAACACGTGCGCCAGGTCCTCCACTTTCATTATACCTGGACGACACGGAATATCGCCCCAGTGGCGATTAAGCCAAGTTAAGCTAGCTAAAGCTTGTGATGGGTACTAGACAACTGATACAAATACATAGATATATATATTTTTCGTAAATACATATATATATATATATATATATCTTATATATAAAATTCTCGTGTCACAGTTTTCGTTCCCATACTCCTCCGAAACGGCTTGACCGATTCTCATGACATTTTGTGAGCGTATTGAGTAGGTCTGAGAATTGGCCAACATCTATTTTTCATCCCCCTAAATGTTAGGGGTAGTCCACCCCTAATTTTTTTTTTATTTTAAGGCAAAACAACGTTTGTCGGGACAGCTAGTATTCATATAAATAAATAACCCTGGATAATTGACACAGCCCTATCTAGTATAAAATAAGTAGTAGAAATGCTGGAACAATTTACCACCCCCGATTCAAAATACTATTCAGTTAGTTTCGTCTTTTAAACATCATTTTAAAAAAAATTTACTTAAAGTACAAAAATCTTAAACGTGGCAGATAAATACAGTAGTCATATATACATATATATTGATTAAATAAATAAATATATTCAAGCTATATTATATTACACAAGTCTTTCTATCAACACTTTTTTATACTTATATATTTTTCTTCTATTTATCACACATACTTATAATTCATCCATTTAACTGATTCTTCATTTTAGATATTTAAATTCATCACGAATGCTATTTCTTTTTTCTTTTTTTCAAATGGCTCCACTGAAAATCAGCGCTGTAGTGACACGCTGCGGCACCAGCTGAGTGGAAGCCTTTTCAGCATAGACGATTATTATTATTTAAGTTTTCTTTTTTACTCTGTACTCTTTTTTATGCTGAATAAATGATTATTATCATTGTTATTATAGTAAAGTACCATGATAAGCAGAGCTTGTGTTATGGGTACTAGACAACTGATATAAATACATAGTTTTTTTTTTGTAAATACATCCATATTATATATATAAAACAGCCAGACCGATACAAACAATCATACTTATGAATACAAATGTTTGTGCCGTGCGAGGAATCGAACTCGCGACCATCGGACGTAAAGCGATGTGCCAGACCGCTAGACCACCGAGGTCGTCAACACAACATACATACAATATATAATATATATACTATGATGTATGTATTTGTATGTATGTACATATATACATACCGTTGTTAGCAAACGGGTTGATCTCCCGGACGGTGACGACGTGGGCGAGCACGTCGCACAGCCACTGCGGCCGCACGAAGTACAGCTCCTTCAGGGTCGCGTCGTCGTAGTGCAGCACCACGCCTGCACGCACACACAGGGGGGTCAGGGGGGTCGGGGGGCAGGGGGGGCAGGGGGTCAAGAGTTCGGGGGGGAGGTAGGGAAGGGTCCCCCCTTCACTACCCCCCTATTAGTCATGGTTTACCGAGGCAGACTCTTGGCAATATCGTTCGCGTGTTTGTTTGCAGCTAGCAAAGTACCAGGATAACATACTGAAGAAGGCTTGAAGGTTCAGGGGGTCGGTGGGTCAGGGAGGTCAAGGGGTAGGGACCCCGTTACTATACCTCTATTAGTAATGGTTGAACCGAGGCAGACAATTGGCAATGTCATTCACGTGCTTGTTTGCAGCTAGCAAAGTACCAGGATAACATGATTTTATAGATAATATGACTACTGCGATGAAATTACTGAAGAAGGCTTGAAGGTTCAGGGGGTCGGTGGGTCAGGGAGGTCAAGGGGTAGGGACCCCGTTACTATACCTCTATTAGTAATGGTTGAACTGAGGCAGACAATTGGCAATGTCATTCACGTGCTTGTTTGCAGCTAGCAAAGTACCAGGACAACATGATTTTATAGACAGTTTGACTACTGCAATGAAATTACTGAAGAAGGCTTGAAGGTTCAGGGGGTCGGTGGGTCAGGGAGGTCAAGGAGTAGCGACCCCTTTACTACACCTCTATTAGTAATGGTTGAACCGAGGCAGACAATTGGCAATGTCATTCACGTGCTTGTTTGCAGCTAGCAAAGTACCAGGACAACATGATTTTATAGATAGTATGACTATTGTGGTGAAATTACTAATGAAGGTTTGGGTGTTCAGGAGGTCGGTTAGTGCTATTACCCCCTGGACCCTGATACGAGCTGAACAAAGTGATATAGTACTATTACCCGGGGGGAAAGGGGATTGTTAGTAATGTGAACTGATGAACTCATTGCTAGCAATGTACCATGTCAGGTCGACCTCCACGCGGTTCCCCCTGGAAACCATCGTGTTAAATTCCTGGTGAATTTGTCACGATGGGCTAATTGACCTGACCTCATGTTCATCTTATCATCCTCCACTGGTGCGCCGCCAGCGTAATCCGTTAGCGCAGGCGGGTGCACTATTTCATTATCATCCACAAAAAAAAAAAAAAGTACTATTACCCCCTGGACCCTGATACGAGCTGAAGATCAGTGAGAACCTCGCATCTAAAAGGTACGACTGACTTTATCCCTCACACACTTCCACGTTTCTTCTCAACATTTTTGATAGCAGAGTTTTTCTTAACACTATCTAAATATATATAACTCAAAGGTGACTGACATAGTGATCTATCAACGCACAGCCCAAACCACTGGACGGATTGGGCTGAAATTTGGCATGCAGGTAGATGTTACGACGTAGGCATCCGCTAAGAAAGGATTTTGTTTAATTCAATCCCCAAGGGGCTAAAATAGGGGATGAAAGTTTGTATGAAACTTCGTCAATTTTAAACCGATCGAGCTGAGACTTTGCTTGCATAAAGCTACTATGACGTAGGCACCCGCTAAGAAAGGATTTTGATAAATTCCACCCCTAAAGGGATAAATCGACGCGAGCGAAGCCGCGGGCAAAAGCTAGTTATGTATAGAACACTTTCTACTGTCATGTATGTATGGAGGGCAGGCATGGATATAAAAAAATATTCGTAACCGTAACCGAATCCGAAATAAAAGTTTCGGACAATATCGGATAGAAGCGGAGCGTAATTGAGACACGTTATGTAATCATTATATTAGCTATTTGTATTTTACTTTTGAAATTCATTAAAACATTAATATCCGTAACCGATATTATCCGAAACTAACGGATAATCCGAAATAATTTCATATCCGTGTCCGGTATAATAATCATTCCTATATCCGAAACCTATCCGTATCCGAAATTTCATATCCATAACATCCCTCATGGAGGGTACTGACCGTTCTCGTGTAGGAACATGGTGGCCTGATCCGCATCCGTATCCGCATCCGGTATAATAATCATTCCTATATCCGAAACCTATCCATATCCATAACATCCCTCATGGAGGGTACTGACCGTTCTCGTGTAGGAACATGGTGGCCTGATCCGCATCCGTATCCGCATCCGGTATAATAATCATTCCTATATCCGAAACCTATCCATATCCATAACATCCCTCATGGAGGGTACTGACCGTTCTCGTGTAGGAACATAGTGGCCTGATCCGCATCCGTATCCGCATCCGGTATAATAATCATTCCTATATCCGAAACCTATCCATATCCATAACATCCCTGATGGAGGGTACTGACCGTTCTCGTGTAGGAACATGGTGGCCTGGTGCAGCTCGGCCGCGTCTCGGAACATTCGCAGGTTCTTACTTTGTATATATTGCGTCACCTGTAACATTTTGATGTTGTTAGTATTCCGATCTGATAATAATAATAATCTCAGGACAATTCACACAGCACCATCTAGTCCCAAGTTGAGCTAGCTAAAGCTTGTGTTATGAGTACTAGAGAACTGATAATAATAATAATCTCAGGACAATTCACACAGCGCCATCTAGTCCCAAGTTAAGCTAGCTAAAGCTTGTGTTATGGGTACTAGACAACTGATAATAATAATCTCAGGACAATTCACACAGCGCCATCTAGTCCCAAGTTAAGCTAGCTCAAGCTTGTGTTATAGGTACTAGATAACTGATAATAATAATAATCTCAGGACAATTCACACAGCGCCATCTAGTCCCAAGTTGAGCTAGCTAAAGATTGTGTTATGGGTACTAGACAACTGATAATAATAATAATCTCAGGACAATTCACACAGCGCCATCTATTCCCAAGCTAAGCAGAACTTGTGGTATGGTTACTAGACAACTGATAATAATAATAATCTCAGGACAATTCACACAGCGCCATCTAGTCCCAAGTTAAGCTAGCTAAAGCTTGTGTTATGGGTACTAGAGAACTGATAATAATAATAATCTCAGGACAATTCACACAGCGCCATCTAGTCCCAAGTTAAGCTAGCTAAAGCTTGTGTTATGAGTACTAGAGAACTGATAATAATAATAATCTCAGGACAATTCACACAGCGCCATCTAGTCCCAAGTTAAGCTAGCTAAAGCTTGTGTTATGGGTACTAGAGAACTGATAATAATAATAATCTCAGGACAATTCACACAGCGCCATCTAGTCCCAAGTTGAGCTAGCTAAAGCTTGTGTTATGGATACTAGACAACTGATAATAATAATAATCTCAGGACAATTCACACAGCGCCATCTAGTCCCAAGTTGAGCTAGCTAAAGATTGTGTTATGGGTACTAGACAACTGATAATAATAATAATCTCAGGACAATTCACACAGCGCCATCTATTCCCAAGCTAAGCAGAACTTGTGGTATGGTTACTAGACAACTGATAATAATAATAATCTCAGGACAATTCACACAGCGCTATCTAGTCCCAAGTTAAGCTAGCTAAAGCTTGTGTTATGGGTACTAGAGAACTGATAATAATAATAATCTCAGGACAATTCACACAGCGCCATCTAGTCCCAAGTTAAGCTAGCTAAAGCTTGTGTTATGGGTACTAGACAACTGATAATAATAATCTCAGGACAATTCACACAGCGCCATCTAGTCCCAAGTTAAGCTAGCTAAAGCTTGTGTTATGGGTACTAGAGAACTGATAATAATAATAATCTCAGGACAATTCACACAGCGCCATCTAGTCCCAAGTTAAGCTAGCTAAAGCTTGTGTTATGGGTACTAGACAACTGATAATAATAAACTCAGGACAATTCACACAGCACCATCTAGTCCCAAGTTGAGCCAGCTAAAGCTTGTGTTATGGGTACTAGACAACTGATAATAATAATCTCGGGACAATTCACACAGCGCCATCTAGTCCCAAGTTAAGCTAGCTAAAGCTTGTGTTATGGGTACTAGATAACTGATAATAATAATCTCAGGACAATTCACACAGCGCCATCTAGTCCCGAGCTAAGCAGAACTTGTGGTATGGTTACTAGACAACTGATAATAATAATAATCTCAGGACAATTCACACAGCGCTATCTAGTCCCAAGTTAAGCTAGCTAAAGCTTGTGTTATGGGTACTAGAGAACTGATAATAATAATAATCTCAGGACAATTCACACAGCGCCATCTAGTCCCAAGTTAAGCTAGCTAAAGCTTGTGTTATGGGTACTAGACAACTGATAATAATAATAATCTCAGGACAATTCACACAGCGCCATCTAGTCCCAAGTTAAGCTAGCTAAAGCTTGTGTTATGGGTACTAGACAACTGATAATAATAATCTCAGGACAATTCACACAGCGCCATCTAGTCCCAAGTTAAGCTAGCTAAAGCTTGTGTTATGGGTACTAGACAACTGATAATAATAATCTCAGGACAATTCACACAGCGCCATCTAGTCCCAAGCTAAACAGAACTTGTGGTATGGTTACTATACAACTGATATAAATTCTTCATTATTTCATTATAAACTAACTACTCGCCCCGGCTTAGCCCGGGTGTACATGTATTATACATATAAACCATCCTCTTGAATGACTCGTATCTATTTAAAAAAACCACTTCTAAATCCGTTGCGTAGTTTTAAAGATTTAAGCATACATAGGGACAGACAGCGACAGCGACTTTGTTTTATACTATGTAATGATACATACATAATATACATATAAAACACCCAAATCGTTACAAACAAAGTACTAATTCCAAATGTTTGTATCGTGCGAGGTATCGAACCCGCGACCATTAGAACTAAAGCAGTATACTGAACCGCTAGTCAACGAGGATATCATCATTACATAGTATAAAACAAAGTCGCTGTCGCTGTCTGTCTCTATGTATGCTTAAATCTTTAAAACTACGCAACGGATTTTGAAGCGGTTTTTTTAATAGATAGAGTGATTCAAGAGGAAGGTTTATATGTATAATACATGTACACCCGTGCGAAGCCGGGGTGAGTAGCTAGTAATAATAATAAAAAAAAACATAAAATCAATCCCCAAATATGGTACTAGTTGCTGCCAGGGCCAAGGGACCTCGAGGCCCCAACCTGCATTCTCCTAGGAACATGCGGAGTCTCCGGTTCAGTTCAGAGTACCGTAGTTCTGGAGCCGCATGCTTGTTTTCCACCATTGTGGTATAAAAAAAAGTGAGATGGTCACCAGCCGACGGTAGTCGTCGTGTCGGAGCACGGGCTGCGTGAGGTCTGCCGCCACCGCCGTCACCGCCTCCTCCAGCGCCAGGTACGTGGCCGGCACGCGCTGCAGCAGCAACGGCTCTTTGCTGCCTGCGTCATACTCGGGCACGTCACGTCATACATCACACGGAACGTACTGTTACTTCACAATAATATTCTAGTTTATAGAATTACGTGCTATTTTATTTATTTATTTAAATTTTAATGCACAAACCTACATACCTGCATATATAAATAAAATTGGAATGTCTGTTTGTTTGTTATATTGAAATAACCGTACACTCTACACGAGGGGTATAGATTTTGTCACACTCTGTAGATAGCCACACTATGACATGTGGTTTCATAATTATTACATAGTAAACAAAGTCTGTCTGTCTGTCCGTCCCTATGTATGCTTAAATCTTTAAAACTACGCAACGGATTTTGAAGATGTTTTTCGTGCGAGGAATCGAACCCACGATCATTAGTACTAAAGCGGTATACTGAACCGCTAGTCAACGAGGATATCATCATTACATACATAGTATAAAACAAAGTCGCTGTCGCTGTCTGTTTCTATGTATGCTTAAATCTTTAAAACTACGCAACGGATTTTGAAGATGTTTTTTTTAATAGATAGAGTGATTCAAGAGGAAGGTTTATATATATAATACATGTACACCCGTGCGAAGCCGGGGTGAGTAGCTAGTAAATTAGCGAGTGAGTAAGTGAGTGAATTATTGAGTGAATGAGTAACGAATGAAGAATCAAATGAGTCAGGAATGATGGAACTAGTAAACGTATGTATTATAAGCTATTTATAAATAGGTAATATATAAATAGTTAACTATCTATGACTCTATTCCTGTGAGAAGACTAAGAAGATACTGACCTGGCGGCTTAACGCTGAACGCGACCGAGTAGATGATGTCAGCCAGCAGCCGGATGTTGTGGCGGGTGCTGCACGACACCTGTCACACCTCATCACGTTATCACATCATCACAAAATAATCGTTGTTAAGTAATCTAAGATATGTCAACTGTACCGGGTCTGTACTGGGCCGGATCATTGGGCTCCCTAAAATATGGTCGAGCGCAGTGATGGCTGGCTCATCCGTCATACTCGTGAACGAGTGCTGCTTGTAGGGACTGATCTGCTCTAATCACTATGACTGATTTCCTCTTATTAATTGTTTAACCAGTTGGTTATATATTCAATTAATTTTTCTATTTGAGTATTTAATTGAATTAGTGCTACTTATTGGTTTGTATTCACACACTTAAACTTAAAAATGTAAAGTAATAATAAAATTATTTAAAAGAGCAACACGCGAGTTTCTTGCTCGTTCTTCTTGTGATGAGACAGCTTTCCGAACGAGCGGTAGATTAAAGTAAATAAGTAATGACTATTCAAAAGTGCTTCAATGTAAGTTTATTCGAATAAATGATTTTCTATTCTATTCTATTCTATATGTACTAGTAAAAGTATGTATTATAATAAAATAACAACTATATAGCATTAACTTAACTATGTCTCTAACACAATTCACTTTAGCATTTAAAATACAACCAGCACATCCTGTGCTCAAACACTGAATGCCGCGGCTTACAAAAACCCTCCCTTTGTCCCTCCAAATGTTTGTACTGTGCGAGGAATCGAACCCACGACCATCGTCGTCAGTGTGTCAGTGACTCAAATGAGTGAGTGAGTGGTACCTCCAGCGAGTCCAGTACGCGTGGCAGTCCCAACTTGTCAGCGTCAGGGGCGCCCATCACCGTCGACCGGATGAGGCGCTGCAGACGCTCCGGGCACTCGCCTTCCGGCAACGGCCACTGGTATAAAACACTTAGTTTATATGGACCACACTGACCACACACCTGATGGTAAGTGGTCACCGTCGCCTATATACATGATCAGCAACGGAAATCAGCGACTATTCATATGTTGCTAATCCGGAGTTCTAAGATTTCACCATCAAATTTATCCTTCAGACTATCTAGTAGTTCATGTCGTCCTGGTACTTTGACTGTAGTATCACAGTACATTTTCTACTTTGTATGAGAATTGCATTAAGCCATACATCCTGCCTGATGATCAGTGGTAACCATCGCCTATATATACTATATAAACAGTACCACAGACATCACGTTATCATGTGACGCACGTGATATTCATATCTTGATATCACGGAGTTTTGTTACGATATCTTCCTTGTAATTTCACTAACACATTTTATGCTTCAGACCATCTGGTAGTTCATGTTGTCCTGGTACTTTGACTGTAATATTGCAGTACATTTTCTACTTTGTGGATAGAAATCAAGCATACATCCTGCCTGATGGTAAGTGGTAACCGTCGTCTATATACATGAACAGTACCATAAACATCACGTTATCATAAGACGCACATGATATTCATATCTTGCTATCACGGAGTTCTAAGTTTTGTTACACATTCGTACCTTGTAATTTAACTAGAACATTTTATGATTCAGACTATCTACGAGTAGTAGTTCATGTTGTTCTGGTACTTTGACGGTAGTATCGTAGTACATTTTCTACTTTGTGGATTGCAATCAAGCATACATCCTGCCTGATGGTAAGTGGTAACCATCGTCTATATTCAACTATATTACATTTTATACTTCAGACTATCTAGTAGTTCATGTTGTCCTGGTACTTTGACTATAGTATCGCAACACATTTCCTACTTTCTACAACGAAAATGGCATCAAGCATACATCCTGCCTGATGGTAAGTGGTCACATCGTCACTCGTGATATATGTGTCCATTTTACTACTAAGATGTCACGCCTCTTATCCTGTATTTTCACTGCCGTATTAAACTGTCTGTAAGTTCATGTTGTCCTGGTACTTTCATTGTTATATTGCTGTATAAGAATAAGCTTTCATTGCCATTCACACCTTATGGTAAGTGGTAACCGTCGTACTTGCGAACATCACGTTATCATGTGAGGCCCGTGATACAACTCAATAATTTCCTTATATATTAAATTATCTATAGGTTTATGATGTCCTGGTACTTTCATTGTTATAGTGCATATATCATGCTTGATGGTACTCACGTGTTGCCATTACAGTCTAAGATGTCAGTACTAAGATGTCACGCCTCTTATCCTGTAATGTCACTGCCTAATCTGCACCCTACAATCCAAATTAAGCTTAGAAAATAAGCTTTTTCGCAGCTTAAATAAGTGAGATTGAGGTATTCAAAGATGACAATTTAGTCTCCTTCAATACTATGGGACACAGTCACCTAGATACATAAAATAATAATTGCAATTAATAATGTCTAGTAAGACAAATTCAATATTGTCTACTAGGCACTGCTGTATCTAAACTGTGTCACCCCACCTTACATTTTCCTACTTTTATTTAGTATATAAGATCATTATTTTTATGTACACATGGTCAGTTTATTATCATCTGTAATATACATCGTCTCGACCAGAAACATCGTATTATTCACCCGCAACAGTGGTGACCCCGACGTGATCTGCCCGACGTGATCTGGCCGACGTGGTCGAGACGATACCTGGGAAAACGACGAGATCCAACAAGAGATCTCTGTCTGACGGCATCCTGCGCACCACCAACGATTGCACATTTCCACCGGCTTCCCAGAAGCGGGTCTCACCGGCTCGGAAATTCAAGAGGCATAAAAGTCGTTGGCAATACTGCGCAACAAGGATCCTGCCGTGCTACTGACCCCCAGTAAACACAACTGCCTGCTGGATATAATCTCTGGACGAAAAATTGAAACTGGAAAAATAAAGCAAAAATGCTGTCTACAAAAGTACAGCCAACAGTCACCGCCGACGTCATTGCACACCTGTCGTCACTAATTGCGACACTGCGATCAGAAATTGCTGATATACGCGAAAAGCGCTCGCCACACACAAACAGACGCAGCAACTACCGATCTAGGTCAAATTCGCACCTACGGTCATTGCATAGTCAGAAAAATGACTATTATTTTATATTATATCATCGCAAATATAAAGAAAAGGCATACAAATGTGACATGCCGCGCTCCTATAGACAACCGTCGGAAAACTAGATTCGACGCAGAATAAGACGGAACGCTGTGCTGTTCATCCGTCTAACCGCCTAGCTATAACCGACTCTAACAGTGGCTATAGAATTTTGGTGGACACCGGAGCAAAAATCTCGATGAATAAAAAACAAGCACAGACCAAAGAGAGCGCTAGCGAATTCAAACTATTCGCCGCAAACAATGAATATGAGCAAATGCGAGTTCTTCACAAATGAGTTAGATTTTCTTGGTTATCATATAACGAGCCAAGGGATGAAACCAACGCAAGAAAAATGGCAAGCAATCGACGAGTACCCTAAACCCACGACAGTCGAAGATTTACGTCGTTATTTGGGTATAATGAATTTTTATTGTTACTAAAGTGCATATCTTAAATTTTACAGTTAACTTTTATAATTTTTTTGTGTGTAATATATATATTTTTTTCTCTCAAGGGGGGAATATCTATGGGACACAGTCACCTAGATACATAAAATAATAATTGCAATTAATAATGTCTAGTAAGACAAATTCAATATTGTCTACTAGGCACTGCTGTATCTAAACTGTGTCACCCCACCTTACATTTTCCTACTTTTATTTAGTATATAAGATCATTATTTTTATGTACACATGGTCAGTTTATTATCATCTGTAATATACATCGTCTCGACCAGCAACATCTTATTATCACCCGCAACAAATACCATTATCAATAACCACCCCAATTTGATAAACTTTAAATTAAATAAATAACAAATATATTAAATTAACTCTTACATTGGCTACTTGATCGTAATGTGTGGCGACCATGATGACGGGTGCACCCGGGGCGCGCGCTTGTATAGATCTGTGAACATACAAATATAGACTTTATTATTCGCAAGATTCAGTGTGACAGCCTCGATGATCTAGTGGTTTAGCACACCGCTTTACTATCCGATGGTCGCGGGTTCGATTCCTCGCACGGTACAAATATTTGTATTGATGAGTATGATTCTTTGCATCGGTCTGGGTGTTTTCTATGTATATTATATATGTATTTACAAAAAAAATGTATCCATGTATTTATATCAGTTGTTTAGTACGCATAACACAAGCTCTGCTTAGCTTGGGACTAGATGGCGCTGTGTTAATTGTTCTGAAATATTATATTATTATTAATTTCGTTTGAACTGATTATATGTCACAATTTGAAATGTGATGACTTGAATGTCTGTACATGCGACTGCATCCGCGTGGAGTTTAACTTTATTTATCTAAAATAAAGGTAGCCAAAGTTACTCCTCCTTACATCAGCTGTTAATAAAAGTTCCGTTAAAATCGGTCCAACCATTTCAGAGATTAGCCTGATCAAACAGACAGACAGACAGATAAAAATGGTAAAAAATGTTATTTTGGTATATGTAATCGTACCGTATTTGTATTCATATGCATGTAGTAAAAAACTGTTATTTCAATATTACAAACAGACACTACAATTTTATTTATATGTATCGATGACATACTGACATACTGAGAATGAAAGAAAATATTGTATCAAATGAATTATTTTAATTACCATCTAAAAGTATATATGAGCCCCTCCCCCCACGGTCGCGACAGGTAGACCCACCCTTCTCCCCTCTTCCCTTGTCATCCCCACTCCCCTCCGTGCAGCGCCATATGCACAGGAACAGCGATCGCCCCCCTGCCCCCCTCTAACCTGCCAGCCCTCGGCCGTCGGTGCAGCGTCCCACGCACAGCGACCAATAGAGACCTTGCCCCATCGTCCCCCCCCCCCCCCCCCCCCCCCCCCCCCCCTCACCTGAGCCAGTGCAGCGCGGCGGCGAGCCCCCGGCGACCGTCGGTGCAGCGCCACACGCACAAGTACAGCGACCGTTTCGACAGGAAGTACTGGTGCGTTGCGTAGTACCTGATACACAGATGAACCTACATCAGTAACGGTCTTCAAGTCATAGATAAGGTGCGTCGCGTAGTACCTGACACACAGACGAACCTACATCAACAATGATCTATAAGTCGTAGCTAATGTGGCCAATTTCGTGGTCCTTCGAGCCGGATCAAAACAAAAGTCATTCAACGAGCCTGGGAGCGTTGTAATTATGCAGTTATGACCTTGGTAAGGCCAGACAGACAGACAGAATTACTGTCGCATTTAAAATATTATAGTTAGGATTATTTTATATGTATACTGGCTGTACCCGTGACTTCGTCCGCGTGGAATTTAACTTTATTTTTCTAAAATAAAAGTAGCCTAAGTTACTCCTTACTACATCAGCTACCTGCCAATAAAAGTCCCGTCAAAATCGGTCCAACAATTTCAGACATTAGCTGGAAAAAACAGACAGACAAAAATTGTAAAAAATATTATTTTGATGTATGTACCGTATTTATATTCATATGCATGTAGTAAAAAACGGTTATTTCAATATTACAAACAGACACTCCAATTTTATTTATATGTATAGATATGTTAGTCCTTAAGACGTACACAATACGGTCCAATATTGTATTATATAATATAAAAAATATATTGTAATTATAGAACGTATATCTCACTCCTGTTGACCACCGAAGTCCCACGTGCGGAAGGTAACAGGCCCACGCGTGGACCGCTGCTTCTCGTACGTCCACGTGCCGATGTCCACGCCCACCGTCGACATGTTCCGGCGGGACGACTTGTTGCCCATACGCTTTGCCCAGTGCTGGACAAAGAATGCTTAGTGAATTTACAATACTACGATATCGCAACGAGATATCACTGTTTGAAACAAAATCTTTAAATAGCCGTTCAAGTATGACGTAAGCAGATTTATTACAATTATTTACCCCCATCCCGCTTGTCATTGAAACAAAATCTTTAAATAGCCGTTCAAGTATGACGTAAGCAGATTTATTACAATTATTTACCCCCATCCCGCTTGTCATTGAAACAAAATCTTTAAATAGCCGTTCAAGTATGACGTAAGCAGATTTATTACAATTATTTACCCCCATCCCGCTTGTCAGTGAAACAAAATCTTTAAATAGCCGTTCAAGTATGACGTAAGCAGATTTATTACAATTATTTACCCCCATCCCGCTTGTCATTGAAACAAAATCTTTAAATAGCCGTTCAAGTATGACGTAAGCAGATTTATTACAATTATTTTTTTTATCAAGTTATCAGAGCAATACATTTTTATACAACATGAAGTGCTCTGCGTGCCTACAGGTTTTAAAGAAACAAGAGATTATGATCGTTTGCTCTTCTACTCTGTGTAAGCAGTCCTTTCACACAGCATGTACAAACGCTGAACGTCTCAGACAGGATGAATTAAAAACATGGGTCTGTCCTGACTGTTGTGCCAGAATGAGGAGAGGTGGAGATAATTCCCAAACTCCAGTGCGCTCCACGCCAGAGAACGTCACCATACGAAAAAAGGGTCAATTACACATAGAGAACCACAGTCTGGAACTTCCGAGAGCAGAGCCTGATTCTGAAATATTGCATTCTTTATCTTCGGAAATTAGTCTCCTAAGGCAGAATATGTCTGAGATGTGGAGCAGTATTAAGGAGCGTTTTGATGATCTAAGCAATAAATTATCAAATTATGACGGACGATTGCGTACTCTTGAATCACAGGCTTGTGAAAATGCTGCTTTAAAAGCCACTATTACTACCCTACAAAATCAATTGAGCTACCAGACACAACTTTCGCTAAGGAAAGAAGTGGAAATAGCTGGCCTTGTTGAAAATCGAAATGAGAACCCTGTACACCTGACTTTAACCACAGCCTTAAAACTAGGTATGGATCTACAAGAGGAGGATCTAGATCATGTAGCACGAGCCGGGGCCGAGCGGCAAAGTAAAGATAATAATCCGACACAGTCAGCTCCTCGTCCTCTCGTAGTGTCTTTCGTTCGCCGATCCAAACGTGATGAGTTCTTAGAACGTTCAAGAAGTCGTCGTCCTCTCAAATCCAAGGATATATTAGTGGAGGGTTCTGATACGACGGTTTATATCAATGAACGACTAACGTTTAATAATCGTCGCTTATTTCGGGACACCAGGCTATTTGCAAAAAAACACGGCTTCAAACACTGCTGGGTACGAAGTGGTAACATTTTTCTTCGGAAGGGGGACTACAGAGATGGATACCCTGCTATTAAAATACAGTCCGAAAATGATCTCGAACGCGCACTTCCTACAACTGGTAAAAATCAGTCCAGCTTACAGGGAGAATCGTCGGTCATTATATCTTAATCAGCCCAGCTCACTGTTTCAGTTATTCTCTTTTTATTGTTTTCAAAAGTCATATACTTTGTCTTGTATTAATATTTTTGAATGTATAGTTTTGTTCGTCTTGATTATGTTATTTGATATTGTATGCGTACTGTATTACACTCTCATTTTTACCACACACACATACACTGTTCACACTTTATTTCACAGTGTCCTTGGCGGACTTTTTAGTTTCACACATTATTTGGAAGTAAATAGTTCATTTTCTTATTACGTGGGTGTTGCATTTGGTATGTTCTTAGCTATGGCTTACTGCAAGCATAATTTGGAACCCTTTCTCTTTACTATTTTTCCATGGCATCCCTGAATTTACTTGAAGAAATTGATAACTCTTTTAAAGTAAAATGCCATACTATACCATTACCGGAAGAATGCACCCGAGTAATTTGTAAATATAATCTGAAAATCTTAAATTTAAACATAAGAAGCCTTCATAAAAATTTTGATAGTTTTTTGGTTGTTTTTAAAAGAATGAATATTGACTTTGATGTCATAGTCCTTACAGAGTGTTGGTTAAATGAAAATTCCACTGTAAACCAAATTAAAGGTTACACGTCTTTCAACTCAAAAAAGTACATAAATAAATCAGGCGGTATAACGGTTTTTGTTAAGGATAAATGGTCATACATTTCCTCGGAACTGGAGGTAGAGGACGCTAATTGTGTTGTGATCGAGGCTCCAAATTGTTTTCAAGTAGTAGCAGCTTACAGGTCTCCAAGTTTCCAAAACCCTAGTCGTTTTATTTATTCCCTTGGCTCAGTTTTGAAAAAACTTACTTACAATCCATTTCTAATCTTTACAGGGGACCTAAACATAGATATATTAAGCCCAGAAACAGATACCAATTATGTTTCCGAATACTTAAATGTACTTGCTGAATTTGGGCTTACATCGAGCATTGATATAGCTACTCGCCAAAAAACTTGTCTGGATCATATTTTTGTACCAATTAAGAGCAGGGCAGAATCTATAGTTTGTTCCTCTGATATAACTGATCATGAAATCACCATGGCAGGAATTACGTTAACGCATCAAAAACAAAATGCTCAGACACGTTCAAGGATTAGAGTAGACTATGAATCGCTGCATTCTGATCTTCATTTGATAAATTGGCATTCTTTGATGAACACAAATGATATTGAGAAGGCAGTATCTCTCTTCTCCTCCACAGTCGTGGATGCTTTATCGAGGCACTCTAAGATTGTGAAAGTTAGTCGCTCCAAATTTAATATCGAACCTTGGATGACTCCTGGACTTATGAGGTGTTCTAAACATCGTGATAAGTTACACAGCAATTTGCGTAAAGATCCCAACAATAGCGTAAAAAAACTAATTTATTCACGGTACAGAAATTTTTATATTAACTTACTAAGGAAACTTAAAGCTGATTATTATAACAAGTTGATAAGCCAAAATAAGGATGCTCCAAAAAAACTATGGAATACTATTAGGCACATTACTCATAACACTGCAACTGTCTCGTTACCCGAAGAGCTAATTAGGACTAGAAACAATATTAAAGAGTCTCTCAATTATTGTAACACCTGCCTCTCTTCCACAGGTAGTAACCTCGCAAATAAAATTTTGACTAGATTAAATGAAACACAGGACTCAATCGCCAGTAAAGTACACTACACTAATTCACCTAAAAACTCTTTTTTTATGGAACCTACCGATTCTCATGAAGTGCTGTGTTTAATAAAATCTCTTAAATCAGGAAACACCTCTGGTTTTGATGGTCTGAATAATAGTATTTTGAAGAATATTGGACATCTTATAGCTGAACCGTTAGCCTCAATATTTAATCTGAGTATATCGTCAGGGACTTTCCCGCAGGTCTGGAAAACGGCTGTGGTGATTCCCATATATAAAGCAGGTAGCAAAGACGACCCGACTAACTACCGTCCAATATCACTTTTGCCAGCTTTTTCGAAACTTTTAGAACGCATCATCTATAAGCGGCTAGTTAAATTCCTCAATCAAAACAGCCTTCTAAATGACAAACAGTTTGGATTTCGTCAGGGAAAGTCCACTGAAGATGCTGTAATCATTCTAATGGATGCTGTTGTTGATCACCTCGATGAGGGTAGGTGTTGCATAGGTGTTTTTCTGGACCTTGCTAAGGCATTTGACACTGTTTCTACACCTATACTCCTCAAAAAGCTGGAGTGTGTTGGAATACGTGGCTTGCCACTAAACTGGTTTGAGAGTTATTTGTCGCATAGAAATCAATGTATCAAGATTGGTGATCATATAAGTGATCCTATACATGTATCTTTTGGGGTTCCCCAAGGGAGCATTCTGGGTCCAATCTTATTTACTATATATATTAATGATCTTCTAAATCTCCCGCTCCAAAGCTGTAACGCAATCTGTTACGCAGATGATACTGCTCTCATATTCCATGGCCCAACTTGGCAGGAAACGCAGTACATGGCTGAATGTGGTCTTCGACAAGTGTCTGAGTGGCTGGACTATAATCTCCTAACATTAAACGCGTCTAAGACCCAGTATTTGTGTTTCCATAAAACAGCTGTATCTCGCCCACCTTCAAGTAAGTTCAATATTAAAATACACAAAAACTGTCTATCGCCTAATGGTACTTCCAACGCTTACTGTAATTGTGACATTATCAACAGGGTGGTCTCGCTGAGGTATCTTGGAATTGAACTGGACGAAAATTTAAATTTCAAGAAACATATATCAATTACCGCAAAAAGAGTTAGAAAATTAATGTACACAATGAAATTATTGAGAGTCATTTCAGACAACACTACTCTGAAATTGGTATACTTAGCGTTATGTCAGTCTTTAATAAATTATTGTCTACTAGCCTGGGGAGGTATTACGAAGTCCAATTTAATTCCCTTAGAAAGAGCTCAACGAGCTGTTCTGAAGGTTTCTCTAAAAAAACCGCGACTATTCGACACGATGCAATTGTATAAAGAGGCTGAGGTCCTGAGCGTGCGCAAATTGTTTGTAATGCGAGTTACTGTATACATGCACAAATATGTGAAGAGTCTACCAACATACAAAGATATATTAAAGAAGAGAATCTATAAAGCTCCTGTGTCTAAGGCTAAAACATCATTTGCTCAACGTCACAAAAAAATTCTCTTTCCACACATATACAATCAAATTTGCAAACTAATTGATATGAAACACTCTCAGTTATCAGGTTTAAAAACACTCCTCAACAGTATACTGATGTCCTGGACATATGAGGACACTGAGAAAATACTAAAACCCGTAATATAAATTTAGACAATTCTGAAATATTCTAATGATTCTATATGAATTTACAACACTTCCAAATAACATTCTTACTCACTCAAACACACACACACACACACACACATTCACACGTACACACATACACACACACACTCGCCGACTAACAAATACATATCTGTAATTTTTATTATTGTATTCTTTGTTTATTTTATTTTATTTTTTGTCATATATTACTAGTATTAATATTATATAAACACTAAATTTTTATATGCACTCTGATCGCCGTACCAATGTAACGTTAACTGTCAAACCTGCTTTGATTTCCACGATACAGGCATTGCCTAGTGTGGGGTCATAGTTACAATGTTATTTAAGTTATATTTTATGAAATAAATGTTATTCTATTCATTCTATTCTATTCATTCTATTCTATTCATTTACCCCCATCCCGCTTGTCATTGAAACAAAATCTTTAAACAGCCGTTCAAGTATGACGTAAGCAGATTTATTACAATTATTTACCCCCATCCCGCTTGTCATTGACACAAAATCTTTAAATACCCGTGCAAGTATGACGTAAGCAGATTTATTACAATTATTTACCCCCATCCCGCTTGTCATTGAAACAAAATCTTTAAATAGCCGTTCAAGTATTACGTAAGCAGATTTATTACAATTATTTACCCCCATCCCGCTTGTCAGTGAAACAAAATCTTTAAATAGCCGTTCAAGTATGACGTAAGCAGATTTATTACAATTATTTACCCCCATCCCGCTTGTCATTGAAACAAAATCTTTAAATAGCCGTTCAAGTATGACGTAAGCAGATTTATTACAATTATTTACCCCCATCCCGCTTGTCATTGAAACAAAATCTTTAAACAGCCGTTCAAGTATGACGTAAGCAGATTTATTACAATTATTTACCCCCATCCCGCTTGTCATTGACACAAAATCTTTAAATACCCGTGCAAGTATGACGTAAGCAGATTTATTACAATTATTTACCCCCATCCCGCTTGTCATTGAAACAAAATCTTTAAATAGCCGTTCAAGTATGACGTAAGCAGATTTATTACAATTATTTACCCCCATCCCGCTTGTCATTGACACAAAATCTTTAAATACCCGTGCAAGTATGACGTAAGCAGATTTATTACAATTATTTACCCCCATCCCGCTTGTCATTGAAACAAAATCTTTAAATAGCCGTTCAAGTATGACGTAAGCAGATTTATTACAATTATTTACCCCCATCCCCCTTGTCATTGACACAAAATCTTTAAATACCCGTGCAAGTATGACGTAAGCAGATTTATTACAATTATTTACCCCCCATCCGTCAGTAAAAGTAAGCAAAGCACTCACCCCCAAAATGGCGTCCTATGAACAGTGACTCGGACAAAAAAGGTATTATACGAGCAGCCCTTGAAAGAAATAGACGTGCCATGAGTAGGTTCCCATTACTTTGGGGCCGTTCAAATATTACATAAACAGATTTATTACAATTATTTACCCCCCATCCCCCTTCAGCAAAAGTAAGCAAAGCTCTTACCCCCTCCCCCTATGCTTACGTAAACATTTTTCAATTAATGTATTGTTTTTTAGCAAAGACAATGCGAGGGTTGCCATTTGTGTAATAAAGTAAATAACTACCTATGACGTCATTATCATTTAGATTCCCCTACCCCTCATACCATCCAAAATAAACGAAGCAATGAACCCTCCCCTTCAAAGTTCTTACATAATACTTGAACGGCTCCATACAATAGTGTTCTGGAGGATTTATGATGAAGATAAACGACCTCGGTTGTCTAGCGATCTAGCACACCGCTTTACGACCGATGGTCGCGGGTTCGATTCCTAGCACGGCACAAATATTTGTATTCATGAGTATGATTGTTTGTATCGGTCTGGGTGTTTTCTATGTATAATATGTATGTATTTGCAAAACAATAACTATTTATATGTATCAGTTATCTACTACCCATAACACAAGCTTTAGCTAGCTTAACTTGGGTCTAGATGGCGCTGTGTGAATTGTCCTGAGATTATTATTATTATTGGATTATATTAGGAAGGGGATTGTTAGTAATGTGGACTAATAGCCCCATTACTAGCATTATGCTGAGTTGTGGCCCACATTGACTCCGTTTTTTAATGTGTAAATTATTCTTGTATTTCTTATGTTATTACTGTAAAAACGAGTTAATAAAAAAATTCTATTCTATTCTATTCAATGTACCATGCCAGGTCGACCTCCACGCGGTTCCCCCTGGAAACCATCGTGATAAATTTCCGGTGAATTTGTCACGATGTGCTAACTGACCTGACCTCATGTTCATCTTATCCTCCACTGGTGCCCCGCCAGCGTAAACCGTTAGCGCAGGCGGGTGCACCATTCCATTAACATCCTCTAAAAAAAAATACCGTCTTACGATGGTCGCTTTCATCCCCTATTTAAAGGGGGTAATAAAACCTAAAGGGGGTAACCCTTGAGGGTAACATTTTTACAAACTTTGAATATCATATTTATTTATATTTATCAACAGCATAAAAATTAAGTTTGAAGCTTCTAGTTTTAAAAATGACGATATTTCCATATAAACTTTTATCTAAATATTTACCCTTAATATACGAGTCACTGTTCATAGGCCGCCATCTTGTTCCCCACTACTCAAAAAAACCGGAAGTTATAATCATATATATATAAAATTCTCGTGTCACAGTTTTCGTTCCCATACTCCTCCGAAACGGCTTGATCGATTCTCATGAAATTTTGTGAGCGTATTGAGTAGGTCTGAGAATCGGCTACTATCTACTTTTCATACCTCTAAGTGACACCCCTAACATTTAGGGAAGGGTTTTTTATGTATTGGACAATTTTTTTATAACGTGGTATTAAAAGTACATACAACCTTAAATTTTCACCCTTCTGTCACCAACCCCTATTTTTTAATAACGATTTTACGTTTGTGGGGTCAGCTAGTAATCTATATTACAGATTGTGTGTACAATCGTTTCACACAGTTCTTCCCCCTCCGAGCGATCCCCCGTCTAATTCCAATGGGGATCGATATTACGACGGCCTGAGCCGAGGTTCGAACCCCTAGCGGTGCCCTCACACTAAAGTCGTATCTGTCAGGCGGGAGTTGGCCTCCAGTCGCTCCAAGTCCTTTGGTTTGGAGTGCCATCTGCACTCGTCTATCGTCCGGTGAAGCTGTAAAGGCCAGCTGCGGCCAGCATTAGAGTAGACCGAAAAAAATCATCTCACCTCAGTTGGTTTCCTTCTGTGCTGGATGGCGGACTCTTGTCTCAAACACTCCAACAGACTTGTTTTGCCGATTCCCTGAAAAATAACATATACATTGCATACTAGCTGTGCCGGCGGCATCACACGTATGAAATATATAATATTTGATATTTATTTATTCAGTAACAATTTACATTGTGTTTGAAATAATAAAGTTTTTGCTGCTAAGAAATTCATCAACACTAAAAAGATTGCTCCAACAGAATGTAGAGATAAGAAAGGGAGTAAATAACGAGATGACTACGAACAGAGATGAATGGAATAGAAAAACGTGTTACACCTCAGATGAACGGGATAAGGAAGAAGCAGATGATGATGTTGATGAAGATAATTATGGTGGTGATGATGCTGGTGGTGTGGATGATGGTGGTTGAAAATTGTAAACCCCAAATGAATATGTGACACGATAGAAAGTGAGAGACTGTATATATGTCTGTACTGCTTACACAGTTTAGTCTTATAATCTATGAAGTAATCTCTGTAATTACTCTGTACATTATAAAATCGCTTTTGGTAACGCCGGAAACGGAAGTGTGTGCTATTAATTTCATTTGCATATCAATACGATGTCTTGTTGCAATAAAAATCGTGTGTATATTCATTAACTCTAATAGTGATGGTGATGATGGTGGAGGTGATGATGATGGTGATGATGATGATGGTGATGGTGATGATGACAGTGATGACGAGGTAGCATTACCTGCACGCCGACGATCATGAGCTTCATGCGTGCGTAGGGGCGCGCCTCCTGCAGCACGGACTTGAGGTACCCGACGATGTCCATGCTCTTGTACCGTCCGCTGTGCAGCATGGACCGCAGCGGCTCGTGCAGCTCGCAGCCCGCCATGTTGAGGTTCCACAGCCGCGACAGCAGGCCCATCTGCGGGGGCAGCTCCGAGATCTCTGCCGGACGGGACGGGGAGGGACTTTGTTAAGATTTTTCTATTAAAATCTAAATTTATATAACTCAAAGGTGACTGACATAGTGATCTATCAACGCACAGCCCAAACCACTGGACGGATCTGGCTGAAATTTGACATGCAGGTAGATGTTACGATGTAGGCATCCGCCAATAGACGACGGTTACCACTTACCATTAGGTGGGATGTTTGATGGTAAGTGGTACCATCGTCGTTGTACAAAGTACGAAATATACTCATTAATTAATCATGTACGTAACGTGATAACGTGATGTAGTGTCATGTATATAGACGACGGTTACCACTTACCATCAGGTGGGATTATTGATGGTAAGTGGTACCATCGTAGTACAAAGGAGAAAACTGTGATACTACAGGCAAAGTACCAGGACAACTTGAACTACTAGATAGTATGAAGCATAAAATGTTATAGTGAAATTACTGGGGACAAAATCGTGGCATTTTGTAACTCCTGGATAGTAACATATGTGTACTATGGGCGTCGCATGATAACGTGATCATGTATATAGACGACGGTTACCACTTACCATCAGGTGGGACGCAAGATTTATTGCCATCCTCGTTGTACAAAGTAGGAAATGTACTGCGATACTACAGTCAAAGTACCAGGACAACATGAACTAGTAGCGAGTCTGAAGTAACACAATAGTGAATTGCAGGGAACGAAAGCAAAATGTGAATACTATGTACGTAACATGATAACGTGATGTAGTGCTGTTCATGTATATAGACGACGGTTACCACTTACCATCAGGTGGGACGCAAGCTTTATTGCCATCCTCACAAAGTAGGGAATGTACTGCGATACTACAGTCAAAGTACCAGGACGACATGAACTAGTAGAGAGTCTGAAGTAACAGAAAAGTGAAATTGTGAACAAAACCATGTACGTAGCATGATAACGTGATGTAGTGTCATGTATATAGAAGATCGTCCAGCTGTTTTAATATTAATAAATGTACACTGGTTCCCGAGTTCCCGAGTATGACGCGCACCTTTGTTCCCGCTGAGGTTCAGCACGGAGAGGTTGGTGAGCTCGTGTATGGCGGGAGGCACCGCCCGTAGCAAGTTGCATGACACGTCCAGCATCGACAGCAGAGGGAACAGCAGACGACCCTTCAGGCTCGACCCGTTGTTCTGAACCCGAGAGAAGGAAGAAAGAAAAGTAATAAAAACAATAAAACTTAGAAAACCAGAGAGATGTTTGACATGATGCCCACGGCTACCTTTTACCATCGCACCGCTCGCCATCGACAGGGAATTCATCACACGCGGGAACCTAAGTGGTCTCGGACAGTGCGGTTTCAGAGGAGCTTCCTCCCGCGTACACTTACATTGTGGAATGAACTACCTGCCGAGGCCTGAAAAACCCCATGCTGTAGTATCGTGAGAAATCACGATACTACAGCATGGGGTTTTTCAAGAAGGGTATATTAAGGTTTCTTAAGGGTCGGCAACGCGTATGTGACACCCCTGGTGTTTCAGGCGTCCATAGGCTACGGTAACCGTTTACCATCAGATGGGCCGTATGCTTGTTTGCCATCTAAGTGGTATAAAAAAAAAAGAGAAGAGAAGACAAAAAATAGTATAAAGAATACACAGTGCCATCTAGACCCAAGTTAAGCTAGCTAAAGCTTGTGTTATGGGTACTAGATAACTGATACAAATACATAGATATGGATTTTCGTAAATACATACATATTATACATAGAAAATATCCAGACCGATACAAACAATCGTACTCATGAATACAAATGTTTGTGCCGTGCGAGAAATCGAACCCGCGGAAGTAAGGCGGTGTGCCAAATCGCTAGACCACTGAGGTCGTCACATAACAATGATAACCTAAAATAACTTTATTGTACTTCATTTACATTATGTATTGATAAAGTACAATTACAAAGAAACTTAAAATCCATAGCACTGACAATATTATCTGATTACACTAATAATGAGTGCGTAGCGATTTCTATGTTGATTATCGCATGCCTCTTACTTGTTATACTGCAATTATTTATATAAAAAAAACATTTATTCAAAAGATCACAAGTTTCTCGCTCATTCTTCTTGTGATGAGTCTGCGTTCCGAATGAGTGGTAGAATCAAAATATGACTATTCAAAAGTGTTTGTAATGAGTTTATTTGAATAAAGATTATTTCTATTTCTAATCTATATATATACAAGAGGCAATTCGGTCTGTTATTTTATTGTTTTCTGGTAACTAGGCAACGGTTTTGCCTCGTGATAATAGTAATTTCAAGAAGGGTACATTAAGATTTCTTAACAGTAGGCAACGCTCACGTGATACCCCTGGTGTCTCAGGCGATCATAGGCTACAGTAAGCGTTTACCATCAAATGAGCCGTATGCATTATTGCCACCATCGTAGTATAAAAAACAATCTCCACAAATGTTCTGAAAGGATGTACGATTGTAGGTTGTAGTGACTGCCAGTGCTCACCCAGTCGTCGTCGTCGTCGTCGGTGTGGGAGCCGTCGTGCGGCGCGGACACGTGCCCATCATCGTCCGTCGTCAGCTGGATGCGAGTCAACAGGTTGTTGGACAGGATCTGACAAACATATATTCATTCGAGACTTCGTACTGTTATGCCCGAGCCCAATACAAAGAAAATGCTAAGCCTGAATAATTCCCTATTTACATCGTTATATAAAAACAGTTTAGACAGTTAGTCAAATCAGTCCGCGTCGATAACTCATTTCACTTGCACCTACATAGTTTGGGATAAGTTTGTTAATATAATAACTTGTGAAACCACATTTTCGAAATAAACTATCTGAAATCAAGTGACTTTTGTGTTGTGTTTTAAAAAGGTTTTTTTAAAAAAACCCAAACGGGGTCAGCCGCCTAACAGTACACGTGAAACTTAACTATCTTTCTAAAATAAAAGTAGCCTAAGTTACTCTCTATTACATCAGCTACCTGTCAATAAAAGTCCAGTCAAAATCGGTCCAGTCATTTCAGAGATTAGCCGTAACAAACAGACACAAAGAAAAAACCTGCCAATAAAAGTCCCTTCAAATCTATCCTGTCATTTCAGAGATTAGCCTGATCAAACAGACAGACAAAAATTGTAAAAAATGTTATTTTAGTGTATGTACCGTATTTATATTCATATGCATGTAGTAAAAAACTGTTATTTCAATATTACAAACAGACACTCCATATGTATAGATGTATAGATGATTCTGACTGCGATGTACCTACATAAATAAATTTAGAATTATATGAACTTACCAATGTCCTGAGCCCTTCAAGTCGCAGATGTCTCCTCGCCGGACACGCCGCGTTCAGGAGCTGCGACCTGACTGAACCCCCCGAGCGCGGCCTGGACTTGTTGCTGGTAGATGTGGAGGAGTTCGGACAGTAGCACGCTAGTGGAACTCCTTCAGTTGACCCAAAGTTTTCTACCTGTTGAATGAATCTAAATATATATAACTCAAAGGTGACTGACGTAGTGATCTATCAACGCACAGCACAAACCACTGGACGGATCGGGCTGAAATTTGGCATGCAGGTAGATGTTATGACGTAGGCATCCGCTAAGAAAGGATTTTGATTAATTCCACCCCTAAAGAGATAAAATAGGGGATGAAAGTTTTTATGAAACTTTGTCAATTTTAAACCGATCGGGCTGAGACTTTGCATGCATAAAGCTACTATGACGAGAGAACCGGATTGTTAGTAATGTGGATTGATAATCCTATTACTAGCAATGTACCTTGTCAGGTCGCCCTCCACGCGGTTCCCCCTGGAAACCATCGTGTTAAATTCCCGGTGAATTTGTCACGATGTGCTAACTGACATGACCTCATGCTCATCTTATCATCCTCCACTGGTGCCCCGCCAGTGTATACCGATAGCGCAGGCGGGTGCACCATTCAATTATCATCCACAAAAAAAAAAGCTACTATGACGTAGGCATCCTCTAAGGATTGTGATAAATTCCAGCCCTAAGGGGATAAATTAACTCGAGAGAAGCCGCAGGCAATAGCTAGTATATAATAAGTTTTGTATGGTAGCTAACCTGTGGGAGGCTGGGCCAGCAGGTGATCTCGTTGTGGCTGAGGTCCAGCTGTCGAAGGCTGGTCGGGTATGATGTTACGTACGACATTGATCTGTACACAAATAATTTAATCATCTCGAAATCATTCCGAACTGACGGTATATTTGACATATCATAAGAGTCTGTAATAGACCTACATGAATGAAGATATTTTGAATTTGAATTTGAATATATCTTACATATAAAATTCTCGTGTCAGTTTTCGTTCCCATACTCCTCTGAAACGGCTTGACCGATTCTCATGAAATTTTGTGAGCGTATTGAGTAGGTCTGAGAATCGGCTATCATATATTTTTCATCCCCCTAAATGTTAGGGGTAGTCCACCCCTAATTTTTTTTTATTTTAAGGCAAAACAACGTTTGGCTTCCTCTAGAATCACTATATATTAAAAAAACCGCTTCAAAATCCGTAGCATATATAGGACCCGACAACGACAGCGACTATGTAATGAAGAAACAGTGTATTTCTCTTTTATTTACTGCCTGTGATTATAGAACTTTTTGTCTTTGATAAAAAACTTTAATCTTCAAATTTACATTAATTAAAAGTTATATTATAAATATAATAAATAATATATAATGAATAAATAATTATAGTCTTGCAGCTGTATTTTACAGCTTCATCGGACGATAGGGGGCGAGTGCAGATGGCACTCCAAACCAAAGGAAGGACTTATGGAGCGGAAATCTGATCACTACCTGCGAGGTGCTTATATTGTAACTTCAATCTTTATGCTTCCTATACCTTTATGTTATCCTGGTACTTTCACTGGAGTATTGCAGTTTAAAGTATACGTCCAGGCTTATGCAAATCGTCTATATATGACGGTGGCTTTTTTTGTACTGCTCTAATGCTGTAGACTGCAGCTGGCCTTTACAGATTCATCGGACGATAGGGGGTGAGTGCAGATGACACTCCAAACCAAAGGAAGGACTTATGGAGCGGAAATCTGATCACTTGCTTTCTATACCTTTATGTTATCCTGGTACTTTCATTGGAGTATTGAAGTTAAGTATACGTCCAGGCTTATGCAAATCGTCTATATATGACATGTTTTTTTTCGGACTACTCTAATGCTGTTAGCCGGAGCTGGCTTGTACAGCTTCACTGGACCATAGGGGGCGAGTGCAGATGGCACTCCAAACCAAAGGAAGGACTTATGGAGCGGCTGAAGAACAACTCCCGCCTGACGGATACGACTTTAGGTCTGACAAAGGGTCACCTGAGCGAGTTGTAGGCCATGTTGAGCCTCGTCAGTGCGGGCGCGCGGCAAGCCAGCACGGCCGGCACGCACGAGAACTGGTTGTGAGATAAATCCAGCGACGACAGCGAGCTGCCCCCCGCGCCCCCCGCCCCCGCCCCCGCCCCCGCCCCCGGGCCCCCCGCCGCCCCCTCGGGGGCGCGCGCCGCCCCCCGCCACCCGTGTGCTCGCCGCGCCTCCGACCACCTGGGGAAAGATGGGGACACTATTGTAAAATCCAAAATAAATGTTTTCGAGATGTGGTATTGGCACAAAATGTTATGAATTTCATGGACGGAGCGCCACACTGATGGATGTATTGGAACAACTAGGTATCAGAACCCGTCTCTCTACTCTGTGCTTCCAGCGTATGCTAATTTTGTTCGGTCACGTGACCCGATCAAATAAGCAGATAATTTGGAAAAAATTATAATGGTACACCACGTGAAGGACGGTTGGAAGAAGGCAGGGCTCCTGCTCGATGGAATGATTCCGATCGAGACCCCATCAACCAAAATATGCAGTCGGCGGTCCACTTGGCACAGGGTAGAAATGCCTTTCCAGGGAAAAAGGGGGAAGTAGTTGGTTATATAGGGAACCCGCAGAGATGGGGCCCGCTGTAGAGTGGGACTCCGACGGCGGTAGCCCGCTGTAGAGTGGGCCACCGCCGTCGGAGTCCCACTCTATAGTGGGCCACCGCCGTCGGAGTCCCACTCTACAGCGGGCCACCGCCGTCGGAGTCCCACTCTACAGCGGTCCACCGCCGTCGGAATCCCACTCTATAGCGGGCCATCGCCGTCGGAGTCCCACTCTATAGTGGGCCACCGCCGTCGGAGTCCCACTCTACAGCGGTCCACCGCCGTCGGAGTCCCACTCTATAGCGGGCCATCGCCGTCGGAGTCCCACTCTATAGTGGGCCACCGCCGTCGGAGTCCCACTCTACAGCGGTCCACCGCCGTCGGAGTCCCACTCTATAGTGGGCCACCGCCGTCGGAGTCCCACTCTAGAGCGGTCCACCGCCGTCGGAGTCCCACTCTATAGCGGGCCATCGCCGTCGGAGTCCCACTCTATAGTGGGCCACCGCCGTCGGAGTCCCACTCTACAGCGGTCCACCGCCGTCGGAGTCCCACTCTATAGTGGGCCACCGCCGTCGGAGTCCCACTCTAGAGCGGTCCACCGCCGTCGGAGTCCCACTCTATAGCGGGCCATCGCCGTCGGAGTCCCACTCTATAGTGGGCCACCGCCGTCGGAGTCCCACTCTACAGCGGGCCACCGCCGTCGGAGTCCCACTCTACAGCGGTCCACCGCCGTCGGAGTCCCACTCTATAGCGGGCCATCGCCGTCGGAGTCCCACTCTATAGCGGGCCATCGCCGTCGGAGTCCCACTCTATAGTGGGCCATCGCCGTCGGAGATTTCGATCCCGCGACTCCGGCATATGGCGTTGGGTGAGGGACATCTTGGAGATTTTAGTGAGTAGGAGTCTCACAGTACCCGCTTGCCTCCCCCGGGTGGGCGGGTCTCCATGAGGGATTTTCTCCAAGTCAAAAAAAAAGGGTAGAAATGCCTGGAGAATATTGGTTGGAACAAGCATTCCTGGTGATCGACATAGAAGAAGTTTGATAGCTATTACTCTGTAAATGATAATTTACCGGTTTTTCTCGACTGATGTAGCTAAATAAAGTAATTTGAATCTAATCAAGTACCATATATTTGAAAAATCCGCAAAATATAATGTAAATTGTACTCCGCATTTTGCTTCTCATCTGAGTCAAGGTGTAGAGCCGAGACTACTAAATTAATTATCCAAGCTACTCCCAGAAGAGCAGAAGTCTGCTGGTGTCTTCACAGATTACGGAGCGATGTCACTATTCCGATCTGAGTACTTTGTATGGCCACAAGAACTCCAGGTTTACTTGTGACTTGAGAGCATGATCCAACATCCTCCACTGATGCCCCGCCACGTCGTGGAAGACGTCCACTGCTGGACATAGACCTCCCCCAAAGATCTCCACGACGATCGGTACTGCGCTGCTCGCATCGCCTTCCAGCGATCTTGACCAGATCGTCGGTCCTTGCTGGAGTCCTTCCCACGCTGCGTCTTCTGGTCCGTGGTTGCCACTCGAGGACTTTACTGCCCCAACGGCCATCTGTCCTACGAGCTATGTGCCCTGCCCATTGATGATAATGGAATGAGGTGGGTGCATCATTCCATTACCATCGTATAAAACATACTCCAACATAACACTATATGATCACAACCTTCTGAGCTGAGTTTCTTGTCAGTTCTCATCTCGAAATCATTCCGAACTGACGGTAGATTTGACATATCATAAGAGTCTGTAATAGACCTACATGAATAAAGATATATTGGTTGATGGAACCACAATACAATGTACTCACACGGCGTTCCCCGCGCGATTTCCTATAACAATGACGCCGTCTTCATCCTCCTGCTGCTGGAGAGGCTCCGGATCATTGCTCTCGATGGATGGACTGCGAGTGGATGACTTCTGTGAACACATTCGTTTGTCAGTCTTATTAATATTACTAGTTGTTTCTGCGACTTCGTCCGCGATGAATTACACTTTATTTTTCTAAAATAAAAGTAGCCTAAGTTACTTCTTATTACATCAGCTGCCTGGTAATAAAAGTGCAGTCAAAATCGGTCCAGCCATTTCAGAGATTAGCCGAAACAAACAGACAGACAGACAAAAATTGTAAGAAATATTATTGTGGTGTATGTACCGTATTTATATTATGCACTAGCTGTTCCCGCGACTACGTCCGCGTCGACTTTAATGTTATTTTTCTAAAATGAAAGTAGCCTAAGTTACTCCTTATTACATTAGCTACTTGCCAAAAAAAGTCCCGTCAAAATTGGTCCAGCCATTTCAGAGATTAGCCGAAACAAACAGACAGACAGACAAAAATTGTAAGAAATGATATTTTGGTGTATGTACCGTATTTATATTCATATGTATGTAGTAAAAAACGGTTATTTCAATATTACAAACAGACACTCCAATTTTATTTATATGTATAGATATTTTTTTACCTAACGTAACTAAACTGCATGCACTAACCGAGGATCGGCTGGTTTACCTGGTCGCTTTTCTTCCACGGAAAGATACTAACGGATTGCGTGAAGTTGAACGCTGATGATGAAGAGGCGCTGTTCTGTGATGACGCCGGAGACAACACCTGGGGTGGACTGCTGCATTCTGGTGCAGGCTGCGGAAGACATTTTTTTTAGGATATTGTATTGGTGCACCCGCCTGCGCTAACGGTATACGCTGGCGGGGCACCAGTGGAGGATGATAGGGCATGAGCTCACTTCAGACGTAACCCTGGAGTGCTTGCAGTGCCCACACAATGACTCTAATCCTTGGAACGGTGAGGTCGCTTCATGAAGTCTGTGAAGACATCAGAAGGCTTCTGCACTTCTGGGAGGAGCTTGACTATTTCCTTCATACAGGTCATTATAATGACCTAGTAAGGACAGCAGTAACATAATGTTATATTGAGACTTAAATATTGTATCTGTTTCTTCTTTTTTTTTTTATATATACTTTTTAATATACAATCGATTTGTTTACATAAAAATTTTAAATTAGTATAAAAAGTGAAGTTATGTGTATATATAGTAGATATAGAACCTTAGCTAAGTCCATTTTTGTAACTGTTTTTTTTTTGCACAATAAACTTATAAAACTTATATTTTAGTAGCGAACATGAGGTCAGGTCAGTTAGCACATCGTGGTGAATTCACAAACAATGGATCACAATGGTTTCCAGAGGATGGACTTATTCTCCATTCCTAGCAATCCCTCTCCATCTTGAAGATGGTGGTATTTACAGTGGAGGATGTTAGAATGAGTAGGAGGTCAGGTCAGTTACCACATCGTGGTGAATTCACCAGGAATTTACCACGATGGGTTACAGGGGATACCGAATGGAGGTCATGATGGTCCTGACATGGAACATTGCTAGCAATGGGGTCATCAGTCTGGGGGACTGCTGCAGTCGGGGACAGGCTGCGGTAGTAATTTTTATATGATAACTAGTTGTACCGGCAAACGTTGTTTTGCCTTAAAATAAAAAAAAAATTAGGGGTGGACTACCCCTAATATTTAAGGGGATGAAAAATAGATTGGCCGATTCTGAGACCTACTCAATACGCTCACAAAATTTCATGAGAATCGGTCAAGCCGTTTCGGAGGAGTATGGGAACGAAAACTGTGACACGAGAATTTTATATATAAGATAATAGAATGATGTACCCGTTTGCGCTAACCGCTTAAACTGGCGGGGCACCAGTGGAGGATGATAAGATGAGCATGAGGTCAGGTCAGTTAGCACATCGTGGCAGATTCACCAGGAATTTATCAGGTAAGTTAGCCCATCGTAGTAATTTCTCTAGAAGTTGATGATAATAAGACGATGGTTTCCAGGGAGAACCAACGTAGCAGACAACCTGACAGAGTACATTTTTTTTATTGGATTGTTTGGGCTATTGTCAGGTGCATGTACCTGTAGCACTGCGACCTACATAGATCTATTGTGCTCGCCCTTTTCAGAGTTCGCTTCCTAGACCCGTCAGGGACAAGAATTGAAGGATATTCTTAGGAGCGATGAGATCCTGGCGAAATTGTCACGACTGATCTGACCTCATATACATTTTCACTGGTCTCCCGCCAGCGTAGATTTTTAGCGCTAGCAGGTGCACCATTCCACTATCATACATATAAAAAAATAGTCAATTTTTTATTCTACCACTCATTTGGAACGCAGTCTCATCACAAGAAGAACGAGCGAGAAACTTGTGTGTTGCACTGTAAATGTTTAAAATTACGAAATAGGACGTGGGTTCGATCGGGGTCTGAATGGTATGAATGTGGGTACCTGTTCTCCGTGGGGCAGGTCCCGCAGGTGGTTGAGGGCGGCGTTGAGGTCCCGGAGGGCGGGCGCCGCCCACACGCGCGGGGGGAGCGACCGCAGCTTGTTGTTGGAGACGTCCAGCGTCGCCAGCGACGGCAGCGAGAACAGCTCCGGAGGGATCTCCTCTAGGCGGTTATCCTGAGGAAGTTGTGAAACTAACTCACCTTTAAACAGGCTAATGAGAACTTATAACACGTATTCAAAGAAACATTCATCAGTTGACATATTTAGTAATAGTTATTGCAAATGTCTCAATAGTATTATAAGTTCTAGTTGAATCAGTACAGGTTTTATATAGGTAGAAATTTATGTTGTTTTTTATGTTTTGTTAATTGTTAATTGTAAGCACAAATTTGTCACATAAATGTCGTAGTTGCCTATAATTAAGGTTGCGCTTAGTATAAATATAATAGATTGTAATGTAATATATATAATGTAACAGTATTGGTGTAAACCTTGTTGGTGACCTAAATAATAAAAAAAAAAAAAAAAAAAAAAAAAAAAAAAAAAAAAAAAAATGTGCTGGAGGCCCCGTCGTGCGACGCGTCTATGAAATGCTACGAAACTCGGCGTGCGGCCTCTTTTGGTCGACGTCTTGTCGACAGCTTGTATACAAATATAATAAGTTACTTCTTATTACATCAGCTACCTGCCAAAAGGAGTCCCGTTAAAATCGGTCCAGCCATTTCAGAGATAAGCCGGAACAAACAGACAGACAGACAGACAGACAAATTGTAAAAAATGTTATTTTTGTGTATGTACCGTATTTATATTCATATGCACGTAGTAAAAAACGGTTATTTCAATATTACAAACAGACACTACCATTTTATTCATATGTATAGATTATATTTTTTTTCTATTATTGTGTTACAGATTCTAGTAAATACATCACTTCAAGATTGGTAAGTTATTTTATTTATTTTAGTGGTCTAGCGGTTTAACACAAAGTCTGATTTCGAATGGTCGCAGGTTCAATTCCTCGCATGTAGCAAATATTCGTATTTATGAGTACGACTGTTTGTGTCCGTCTGGGTGTTTCTAATATATATTGATGAGATTCGTCTGGTTTGGACACGTTTCATATATGAACGTAGGTACCTGCAGGTACAGTTCCTGCAGCACTGGCGCGCTGTACACCTGCGGTCGCTTCTTGTTCCTGCCGCGCCACTTGGTGCCGTCCTCGTCGAACGGGTCCTCACTCGTCGGGAGACGTTCCAACTTGTTCTGGGCTACATTCAGGTATCTGGAAGCAGATGATGTTATAAAATATGAATGGCTGTCTGTCTCTTTGTTCTTGACAATCTCTGAAACGGCTGGACCGATTTTGACGGGACTTTTATTCGCAGATTGCCAATGTCATAAGGAGTAACTTTGGCTACTTTTTTTTTTTTTAATTAATTGTTTTAGTAAAAAAAATATATTTCCACGCGGATAAAGTCGCGGGTAACAGCTAGTATATAATGATATACAATTATAGTCGACGTACCGTTAACCGTAGTGTGCGGCCCTGTCGAGTTTCTGCAACGTACTTACTGAAAAGCGAGCAGCGAGTGACGTCATGCAGCACTGCAGCCTGCAGCAGTACCTGAGGGAGAGCAGCGCGAACAGGTCGGGCGGCAGCAGGCGCAGCTCGTTGTTGGGCAGCTCGAGCCGGGTGAGGACCAGCACTGCAGCCTGCAGCAGTACCTGAGGGAGAGCAGCGCGAACAGGTCGGGCGGCAGCAGGCGCAGCTCGTTGTTGGGCAGCTCGAGCCGGGTGAGGACCAGCACTGCAGCCTGCAGCAGTACCTGAGGGAGAGCAGCGCGAACAGGTCGGGCGGCAGCAGGCGCAGCTCGTTGTTGGGCAGCTCGAGCCGGGTGAGGACCAGCACTGCAGCCTGCAGCAGTACCTGAGGGAGAGCAGCGCGAACAGGTCGGGCGGCAGCAGGCGCAGCTCGTTGTTGGGCAGCTCGAGCCGGGTGAGGACCAGCACTGCAGCCTGCAGCAGTACCTGAGGGAGAGCAGCGCGAACAGGTCGGGCGGCAGCAGGCGCAGCTCGTTGTTGGGCAGCTCGAGCCGGGTGAGGACCAGCACTGCAGCCTGCAGCAGTACCTGAGGGAGAGCAGCGCGAACAGGTCGGGCGGCAGCAGGCGCAGCTCGTTGTTGGGCAGCTCGAGCCGGGTGAGGACCAGCACTGCAGCCTGCAGCAGTACCTGAGGGAGAGCAGCGCGAACAGGTCGGGCGGCAGCAGGCGCAGCTCGTTGTTGGGCAGCTCGAGCCGGGTGAGGACCAGCACTGCAGCCTGCAGCAGTACCTGAGGGAGAGCAGCGCGAACAGGTCGGGCGGCAGCAGGCGCAGCTCGTTGTTGGGCAGCTCGAGCCGGGTGAGCGCCAGCACGGCCGCGCGGCCGCACTGCAGCTTGCTGTTGACTCGCAGCGCCGCCGCCCGCACCCACGACATGCTGCAACGCACACACATCCCTTCACTTCTCTTTATAATCACGATCATAACCCTGAACGACTCACAACGCCACCTAGTGCCGATCAGAACTTGTGTTATGGATACTAGACTTCTTGAATACATAAAACTAGTGACCATGTAAGGAAGGTCATTTATGTAAACAAAAATGAAAAAAGGGCCTAGAATAGACCCTTGAGGAACACACCAGATTCTTTAGACTTTACACCATTTATTTCAATAATTTGCATTTTATCATCAAAAATTGAGATTTTCGTATCGAGGTTCGATCGTTTTGAGGTCTTCATTTCTAATATTATAATGTTCTAGTTTATATATAAGTATTGCATGATCGATGCAATCAAATACTTTCGAAAGGTCTAAGAATATGCCGATAGGATCCTGAGTCCTCTACCAAGAATCAAATTGATTAGGCCCGGTTGGGGTGGGGAAATGATATCACTCAGTGGACTGTATAATTATGTATATATTATAACAAGTTATAAGTGAAAGTACGTGCGGTGCCCAATGCACGGAATGCCCGAGTGCCCGAAATATATGTTTCTCTGAGAGCGAAACCAGCGTCAGCTGATAATTAGTCAGGTTTGTACCACGTTACGAATCATTCTATAAAAGCAACCTTACCGTATACTCGACAGCTGGCACCTGAGCTCCCTCCAGTTGATCATGACCGGCGTGGTGGGGCACAGCGAGCTGTACGTCAACGTCGAGTCTGATTCGCGACTGTTAAACACGGCCTCCGATATCGCTGACTTATTCAACTTATAATCAGGGTCTGGATACGCCTGAAATTGTAAATCAGTTACTTCAGTTAAGTCATATATTCAAAATTCAAAATATCTTTATTCATGTAGGTCTATTACAAACTTTTATGATATCTCAAATCTACCGTCAGTTCAGAATGATTTAGAGATGAGACGATTCTTTTCAAATAAATGTTGTATATGTTAGCAATAATATATCTTTATAGTATACTAAAATATTGTCCGAAGAAAGCAGATCTTTAATTTGTTTGACAAATAATATCTTCCTTTATAATTAATGTATAATGAAAATTGTTTCATGTTTTGTAATCTCGTACACTGGTTTATAATAGCTAATATCGTTTGATGATGATTCATTGTTGACTCCAGTGATATGTATTAGTCTAGTACAAGGTCCAATATTTAATAATCTTCTAGACTTGTGCCCTGAAGTACACTTGCATGTTTGTCAAATAATGCATTATTTCATAACATAAATATATAAATAAAAAAAAATAAAGTACTAAACCATTAAAGTTATGTGATTATTATAATACGGTAAATTCTAATTTTTGTAATAGATTTTAGCATCAAAGGTTTTTTAGAAGGCTTTTGATTAAGTCAATATGAGATTCTCTGTTATAACAATTTGAATCTATCGTATTGTCAACAAGTGTGTAAGTAGAGTGTGGTGCGGTACCTTGGTGGCCAACAGCTTGGCGAGCAGGTCTGCCAGCCCGTGTCGCGCGCACTCCCTGGCGGCGCGGGCGTGGGGGTCTGCGGCGCCGGCCGCCACCAGCGTCTCCACGAGCTGCACGTGCTTCAAGCGCGCCGCCACCGCCAGCGCCGTCCACGGACCCTCGCCTACACATACCACCATTACTCATATCTCTCCTATATTAGCTTCCTCACAAAATATGAATAAATTATAAGACACCATAGAGTACAGGCAGGCATTCCAGTTACTATACATAAAAATGCTAACGAAATTAAGGAAGACACCAGATTGCAAAAAGGCAAAGTAATTGACAATACATTAAAACGACATCATCCAGATAGACACAACGCATGACTTTAATTCGAGTTTTACTTACCATATTATTATTGGACTAGATTTATATACTAAAAATGGTGAAATATGAATTGGAAAGAAATAATAAGGAATAATTAATATTTAACTTGCATATTAATTCTATGCAGGTTACTTAATAGTATATGATAGTAAGCAGCTATCAAATCGAAGTATACTCACGATCGGGCGTGTACCCCCTGTTGGAGGGCGAAGGTGTGGGGGTGGAGGCGGAGGGCGCGACGGCCATCGACCGGACCACGGCGGCGGAAGCACTGCGCGACCGGCGCCGGGACTCCGGCGGGGATGTACTCTACCAGAAAGACAGATATACATATAAATATATGTCGTAGTTGCTAGCAACTAGTTTGTCAATGGTTGACCATAAACTGTTAATATTCAATAATGTTTAAGTATAAACAAAAACGATTCAGTAGTAAGCGATGCAACAGGTGGCATTGACGAGGCACTGCGGGAGGATGAACTTGATCTGGCGGCAGAAGGCGGCATTGATGAACCAACTGATCCGGCGGCAGAAGGCGTCACTGACGAGGTACTGCGGGGGTAGGCACCTGGTCTAGTGGTAGAAGGCGACATTGACTAGCCACTGCGTGCGAAGGCACCTGGTCCGGTAGCAGCGGGCAACAATGACAAGGCACCTGGTTCGGCGGCAGAAGGCAGCACTGACGAGGCACTTGGAGAGGTGGCACCTGGTCCGGCGGCAGACGACACTGACGAGGTACTACGGGAGGAGGCACCTGATCCGGCGGCAGCGAGACAGCGTCCGGCGCCGCGCCGGCGGCCAGCAGGCGTCGCAGCAGCCGCACGCGGCCGGCGCGCGCCGCGCTCCCCACGCACGAGTCCCCCGCGCGCCCGCCGTCCGCCCGCACCGGCCGCACGCGCGTCGCCGCCGCCTCCTACGCATACGCACACGCTTATATCCGGCTCGATGGACTAACGACGTTTACACTCCATTGTGAATATTTACAGGCAAAAATCTGGTGCAACATATTATTACACGCACGTTCACATCCGGCTCGAAGGACTAACTACACTAACTCTCAATTATGAACATGTATTTATCTATACATACATTTGTTGCAATATATTAATACACACGAGTGCTCCAATCATTTTCTTTTCTCATAAAGATTAAATATTATATTGATTCAGAAATAAGACCGCCTGTTGGACGTTCTTACTCTGCAAATATTCATTGCAATACATATCTAACGAAAGAAGAAATTAATAAATGAATAGTTTATTTATTGAAAATTAATCTGTGCCGATTGCACTTTATTCCAAACAAAACACGGAACGAACCTTGTTCCCGCCGGTGAGCTTGGTGACGATGGCGTGTATCCCGAGGGAGATGCCGGCGCGGTGCGGGCTCGTCACCGCCGGAGACGAAACCGGTGCGGCCGCAGCCTCCGGACACTCCGACGGCTGATTGGGAAATAAACATGTGCTTTTATTCGAGGACCTCTTTGTTCTAGGTGTATAACACGCAGACCGATACAAACAATCATACTCATGAATACAAATGTTTTGAATCGAACCCGCGACCATCGGACGTAAAGCGGTGTGCTAGACCACCGAGGTCGTCATATTACTGCGATCAAATCCGATAAGGTAGACTTTGTTTTAATGTAGCATTTGTGATCCAGAGTCAAGAGACAAGAGCAACAGAACCAAGTCATAGAGCAAAATGCTATCACCTAATAGAGAAATATTGGTGGGAAGACGATTGTTAGTAATGTGGACTCATGACCCCATTACTAGCAATGTACCATGTCAGGTTGACCTCCACGCGGTTCCCTGGAAACCATCGTGATAAATTCCTGGGGAATTTGTCACGATGGGCTAACTGACCTGACCTCATACTCATCATCCTCCGCTGGTGCCCCGCCAGCATAAATCATCAGCGCAGGCGGAAGCACCATTCCATTATCACCCATAAAAAAAAACAGAGAGATATTTGATTGAAGCTGACCATTCAGTCCACTGTACTGCACTGTACTGTACCTGGGGACGAGCGGGCACGCTGTACGACAGCAGCGCGTCCACCACGCCGAGGTTCCCGAGCGAGCACGCCACGTACAACGCGCTCTGACCGCTCACTGTACTGTACTGCACTGTACTGCACTGTACTGCACTGTACTGCACTGTACTGTACCTGGGGACGAGCGGGCACGCTGTACGACAGCAGCGCGTCCACCACGCCGAGGTTCCCGAGCGAGCACGCCACGTACAACGCGCTCTGACCGCTCACTGTACTGTACTGCACTGTACTGCACTGTACTGCACTGTACTGCACTGTACTGTACCTGGGGACTTGAGCGGGCACGCTGTACGACAGCAGCGCGTCCACCACGCCGAGGTTCCCGAGCGAGCACGCCACGTACAACGCGCTCTGACCGCTCACTGTACTGTACTGCACTGTACTGCACTGTACTGCACTGTACTGTACCTGGGGACGAGCGGGCACGCTGTACGACAGCAGCGCGTCCACCACGCCGAGGTTCCCGAGCGAGCACGCCACGTACAACGCGCTCTGACCGCTCACTGTACTGTACTGCACTGTACTGCACTGTACTGCACTGTACTGTACCTGGGGACGAGCGGGCACGCTGTACGACAGCAGCGCGTCCACCACGCCGAGGTTCCCGAGCGAGCACGCCACGTACAACGCGCTCTGACCGCTCACTGTACTGTACTGCACTGTACTGCACTGTACTGCACTGTACTGCACTGTACTGTACCTGGGGACGAGCGGGCACGCTGTACGACAGCAGCGCGTCCACCACGCCGAGGTTCCCGAGCGAGCACGCCACGTACAACGCGCTCTGACCGCTCACTGTACTGTACTGCACTGTACTGCACTGTACTGCACTGTACTGCACTGTACTGTACCTGGGGACGAGCGGGCACGCTGTACGACAGCAGCGCGTCCACCACGCCGAGGTTCCCGAGCGAGCACGCCACGTACAACGCGCTCTGACCGCTCACTGTACTGTACTGCACTGTACTGCACTGTACTGCACTGTACTGCACTGTACTGTACCTGGGGACGAGCGGGCACGCTGTACGACAGCAGCGCGTCCACCACGCCGAGGTTCCCGAGCGAGCACGCCACGTACAACGCGCTCTGACCGCTCACTGTACTGTACTGCACTGTACTGCACTGTACTGCACTGTACTGTACCTGGGGACGAGCGGGCACGCTGTACGACAGCAGCGCGTCCACCACGCCGAGGTTCCCGAGCGAGCACGCCACGTACAACGCGCTCTGACCGCTCACTGTACTGTACTGCACTGTACTGCACTGTACTGCACTGTACTGCACTGTACTGCACTGTACTGTACCTGGGGACGAGCGGGCACGCTGTACGACAGCAGCGCGTCCACCACGCCGAGGTTCCCGAGCGAGCACGCCACGTACAACGCGCTCTGACCGCTCACTGTACTGTACTGCACTGTACTGCACTGTACTGCACTGTACTGTACCTGGGGACGAGCGGGCACGCTGTACGACAGCAGCGCGTCCACCACGCCGAGGTTCCCGAGCGAGCACGCCACGTACAACGCGCTCTGACCGCTCGAGTCGCGCGCGTTCACGTCGAACGCGAACGAGTACTGCCACTGGCCCGTCGCGTCCCTGCAGTAGAATAGAATAGAAGATACACTTTTGAATAGACATATTTGTTATAGTTAGTTATAATAATAATAATGTTATGTTTGCGTGCAATAATAGGGTCTATAATGATCTAAAACCAATCATAAACATCTTTCATTGTAATATTACGGAATGCAATAAATTAAATTTATTTTTGTAATCTACCGCTCATTCGGAAAGCTATCTCATCACAAGAAGAACGAGCAAAAATCTTATGTGTTGCTCTTTTAAATGAATTTCTGCCTGGCTCCGTCTGAACCGGATATTTTTTTTAATCTACCATCGAAAAGCTGTTTCATCGCAAGAAGAACGAGCAAGGAACTTGGGTGTTGCTTTTAAATCAATAACTGTCTAGCGCTGTTTGGACGATATTTTTTTAATCTACCACTCATTAGGAAAGCTTTCTCATCACAAGAAGAACGAGCAAGGGACTTATGTGTTGCTCTTTTAAATCAATAATGGCCTGGCTCTGTCTGGACCCGATATACATTCTTTCGGAAAGCTGTCTTATCACAAGAAGAACGAGCAAGAAACTTAGATGTTGCTTTTAAATCAATATCTGCCTAGCTCTCTCTCTCTCCCCAAACAGTAAGTAAACACTGCTTCCAAGCTATATCCAAGCATAGAGCTTGGATGTAACAACTTTACTTCCAAAGTGTTGACTGTCATTGCTTGATGATGCCTCGTTTAGAAGTAAAACACGTGTTGCAATATGGGTGTAGACTCAATAACGGTCGGAATTTGATCACCAATAGAGAAGATCGTAACGCTTCCAGTAGCGGTGGTCAGGTTTCCACACTGGATGTTTGTGGTCTCACACATGGTAATGGTAGCGGAATAAAACAAAATTATACAAGTCCCATTGATTAATGATACCGACAACCACCTTTTACCATCGCACCGCTCGCCATCGACAGGGAATTCATCCCCACACGCTGGAACCTAAATGGTCCCGAACAGTGCGGTTTCAGAGGAGCTTCCTCCCGCGTACACTTAGATTGTGGAATGAACTGGTTTTCCCATGAGACTACAGCATGGTGTTTTTAAAGAAGGGTATATTAAGGTTTCTTAAGGGTCGGCAACGTGCACGTGATACCCCTGATGTTTCAAGCGTTCAGAGGCTACGGTAACCATTTACCATTAGATGGGCCGTATGCATGATTGCCAACATCATAGTATAAAAAAAATGTAGTGCAAGTCTGTAAAATAACCTCGAATTCTAAGAAATACAGTTTTTTACTTTACTATAACTAAATGGCAACATGTTTGCCATATACATCTTAAGTAGACAGTAATAAAGAGAGAATAGAGTAAACTCACGTGTAAGTGTTTAGGATAGACTCAGGATACGGATACTCGAGTAGGAGAGTCACCATCGCCGCATGGCCGCCGATGCACGCCGCGTGAAGTGGCAGCCATTTCTCCACAGTTTCTTGCTGAAAAATATATAATAATAATAATAAAAATAACCGTCGACAATCCACACAGCGCCCTCTAGTCCCAAGCTAAGCAGAACCTAGAGCGCGAGCATTTTAGTCCTTCGAGCCGGATGTTGTACTATGTATAGGTACTAGGCAATTGATACTAATATTTAAATTTATCTTTGTTTGAAATGTCCTGGAGTATGAAGCCCAGAGCCCTAGAATTTTGGTCCTTCGAGCCGGAACTTGTATAGGTACTAGACAACTGATACTTAAATCTATCGTTATTTGAAATGTCCCGGGGTAAAAAGCCCAGACCCCAAGCATTTTGGTCCTTCGAGCCGGAGCTTGTATAGGTACTAGACAACTGATACAAATACTTAAGTCTATCTTTGTTAGAAATGTTCTAAGGGAAAAAAAAACACACCTGGACAGCTTGTGGGAAGTGAGCGAGCAGCAGCTTGGCGACGTCGACGTGTCCGTGGTAGCTGGCGATGTAGAGCGGGCAGTACGCGGTGACGGGGTGCGCGCGCCCGTCCGCGCCCGCCGCCAGTAGTGCCGCAGCCGCTGACGTCACACCCGCTTCCGCCGCACTAACCGACAAACATAAAGATTGTTTTTAAGTTGGATGACAACTTTCCGTATAGGATTCTATCTACGAGCTGCCTATCCACGATTCTTTCAAGCGCGATCAGGAGCGTGCACGACGACGCGAAAATACTATCACGTGGATTTTTTTCGGATCGTAGCACCCCAGTAGAGGTGGGGCGGAATTGGATCGCAGTACCCAGTGGGAGATAGAGGTAAGGCGGAGTTGGGTCGCAGTACCCTGTGGGGGATAGAGGTGGGGCGGAGTTGGCTCGCAGCACCCAGTGGGGGATAGAGGTGGGGCGGAGTTGGATCGCAGCACCCAGTGGGGGATAGAGGTGGGGCGGAGTTGGATCGCAGCACCCAGTGGGGGATAGAGGTGGGACGGAGTTGAATCGCAGCACCCAGTGGGGGATAGAGGTGGGACGGAGTTGGATCGCAGTACCCAGTGGGGGATAGAGGTGGGGCGGAGTTGGATCGCAGCACCCAGTGGGGGATAGAGGTGGGACGGAGTTGGATCGCAGTACCCAGTGGGGGATAGAGGTGGGGCGGAGTTGGATCGCAGCACCCAGTGGGGGATAGAGGTGGGGCGGAGTTGGATCGCAGCACCCAGTGGGGGATAGAGGTGGGGCGGAGTTGGATCGCAGCACCCAGTGGGGGATAGAGGTGGGACGGAGTTGAATCGCAGCACCCAGTGGGGGATAGAGGTGGGACGGAATTGGATCGCAGTACCCAGTGGGGGATAGAGGTAGGGCGGAGTTGGGTCGCCCCTTCCTCTTCTTCTTCGGATTAATGGATAGAAGGAGCTTACCGCCAACCACGACCGTTCACTATTTATCGGACTCCGAACTACAGTCACAGCGAGAGAAAGACAAAAAATGTAGGCGATGATCCTTTGAATGACTCACGTGTACAGCAGTGTGTTGGCCCCACCCGGCGTCAGGTTCACGATGACCCCGGCCTCGTTCCCCAAGGAGGCCAGCTTGGTCTTGAGCTGGTGCGTGTCCCCGCTGGTCACCAGCTCCCGGAGCTGCGCGAGGTGGGAGAGCCGCTCGCGCTCCTGGGCATCTGACCAACAATTTATTTACTTTAGCTGTTACCCTTCGTCTTGTGGAATTTAACTTTGTTTTATTGAAATAAATGCATAGTAATAATATATCAATAATTTAGATAATTTCTTACGCTGGTTTCTATGTATGTATTTACAAAACAAAAAGTATTTATATGTCTAGTACCCATAAGGCATCTAGTCCCAAGCTAAGCAGAGCTTGTGTTATGGGTACTAGACAACTGATATAAATACATGGATACATTGTTTTTTGTAAATAAATACATATTGTACATAGAAAACACCCAGACCGATACAAACAATCATACTAGTGAATACAAATGTTTGTGCCGTGCGAGGAATCGAACTCACGATCGACGATCGGATAGTAAAGCGGTGTGCTATAGCACTAGACCACCGAAGTTGTCGATAAAAACCATCGCTCCTAAGAATATCCTTCAATTCCCTGACGGGTTTAAGTAGCGAACTCTGAAAAAAGGGCGAGCACAATAGATCTATGTAGGTCAGTGCTATAGGTCCAAGCACCTCGGAGTAGGGCGAAATAGGTCGCCGCAATAATATGGGGCCTGCCCTACAACAGGGTGGGCCATCGCTGCCGGAGCTGGGGTTGAATGCACATGCAAACCCCCTAGCTCCGGCATAGGCGCTCGTAGGTACACCGTGTGGTTTTTAGTGAGTAACTATATTATTATTATTTATCTTCTTTTCCTTTTTTTTCTCTTCTTTTATAGATTTAAGAGAAGGTAATACTCACCTACACGGACCTTAGCCAAGTGTGGGAGAGGTTGTGTTGGGTGAAGATATTGTTGAGGAGGTACGTACGGTATGTACGGGCCTAAGTCAAGTACATAACAATATTCTATCTTAGGTGGATATATCATAATACAAATGTAAGCCTAATCTGTCTGTAGAAAGTTTCTAACAATGCGGCATGTGTTTAGAACTACAGCCTTCTGTAGTTGCCAGTATATATTAGGAGGCAAGTTCAGGGTATTTAGTGACTGATGCATGTGTTTCGGTATGACACCTGTAGTTGAGAGGTCGATTGGGACTATTGTTACTTTTTGTAAGTGCCAGAGTCGGGTTATTTCTGTTTGTAATTCTTTATATTTTGTTATTTTTTCGGCTATCGTATTTTGCAGGTTGTCTGTGTTGGGGACAGCGATATCAATCAGATATCCAGTTTTGGTAGTTTTGTTTATTAGTGTAATGTCTGGCCTATTGTATTATTATTATTTTAAATAAAAAATGGGTGATCACCATGACCTTTCCAAGGATCAGCGACATCATCAAAAAAGTAATGTACAGCATCGTAAGCCACGTCCGGCTCCTCTTGTGGTTGTGATCTGCGCAGACTGGCGCGGGCGTGTTTGTGTCGAGCGCGCGTATTCTTCTCCCTTTTGCGAAACCTCTGCAGCATTGTCCTCATAATATTTTGGAACTGGGATCGATCTATTTAGTTTCCTAGTTCCCCGAGAACTAATTCGATCTTTTAGTTCGTTCGCGATAGAATAATAGTCAAATTTGGTTGTTCAGACCCTAGGATTATATATATTTTCCCCCAAGCATGTGTCCTTAAGCTTTCCGACCTTTAAGACAGATTTCCTCTTATTAATTGTTCAACCAATTGGTTGTATATTCAATATTTTTTCTATTTGAGTATTTAATTGAATTAGTGCTAATAGGTGGTTTGTATTCACACACTTAAATTTGAAAATGTAAAGTAAGAATAAAATTATTTAAAAGAGCAACACGCAAGTTTCTTGCTCGTTCTTCTTGTGATGACACAGCTTTCCGAATGAGCGGTAGATTAAAAAAAATGTGATGATTATTCAAAAGTGCTTCAATGTAAGTTTATTTGAATAAAGGATTTTCTATTCTTTCTATTCCTTTATCAAACTAACTAAATAATTAAAGATCAGAGTACTCGTAGGCCTCAAAGCGGTTCTACTGAAAACCATCATGATAAACTCCTGACGAATTTGTTACGATGTGCTAACTGACCTGACCTCATGCTCATCTTATCATCCTCCAAAATATGTCTATATATGTATATGTATCAGTTATCTAGTACCCATTACACAAGCTTTAGCTAGCTTAACTTGGGTCTAGATGGCGCTGTGTGAATTGTCTTGAGATTATTATTATTAATGAGTTTTTTGTTCCAAAAGGGCCCCGATTTCTTATGTGCCCCAGGGCCCCAGCCTAGTTTAGGACGGCGGTGGATAGAGCCTAATTATTTTGTTATTAGTAGGGTCTAGTTCGTGGTGAATTCACCACGATGTCCTAACTGACCTGACCTCACGCTCATATTATCATCCTCCACTGGTGCCCCGCCAGCGTATACCGTTAGCGCAGGCGGGTGCACCATTACATTATCATATTTATGAAGAGAATAAGAGAAGTTTTTGTCAGCTCTTAGCTCTCCGAACTGAAGTTTTTGACATATCATAAGAGTCTGTAATAGACCTACATGAATAAAGATATTTTAAGGGAGCGTCTTCCGATCTAGTTCGTTAAACTATTATATATATTTTATCACTTAAAAAATGCTCTCCTGGAGCATCTTCCGATCTAGTTCGTTTACAAACTATTTTGATGACTTAGAAATAAGTTCTCCGGGAGCATCTTCCGTTCTAGTTCGTTTACCAACTATTTTGATGACTTAAGAAAGTTCTCCGGGAGCATTTTCCGATCTAGTTCGTTTACCAACTATTTTGATGACTTAGAAATAAGTTCTCCGAAAGCGTTCTCCCGATCTAGTTCGTTTACCAACTATTTTGATGACTTAGAAATAAGTTCTCCGAAAGCGTTCTCCCGATCTAGTTCGTTTACCAACTATTTTGATGTCTTAAAAATAAGTTCTCCGGGAGCATTCTCCCGATCTAGTTCGTTTACCAACTATTTTGATGTCTTAAAAATAAGTTCTCCGGGAGCATTCTCCCGATCTAGTTCGTTGAGAAACTAACTCCACAAGTTCATAAGAGTCGTCCATTTTGTTTGTCAGCTCACACACTTGCGGTTTGCGGTTTTGTTCTAACTATGTGATTATTGTTACAATGTAATATTTACTGTATGTAATAAATAGTGTGTTATGTAACATTTACCTACATTTTATCCTGTTTACAATTAGTAAGAATCGCGGGATCTTACCACTTATATTTATTACTAGCTGTACCCGCGACTTCGTTCGCGTGGAATTTAACTTTATTTTTCTAAAACAAAAGTAGCCAAGTTACCCCTAATTACATCAGGTACCTGCCAATAAAAGTCCCGTCAAAATCGGTCCATCCATTTCAGAGATTAGCCGAAACAGACAGACTAAAACTGTAAAAAATGGTATTTCGGTGTATGTACCGTATTTATATTCATATGCATGTAGTAAAAAACGGTTATTTCAATATTACAAACAGACACACCAACGCACGATAAGGAAAAAAATAGAATTATAGTGTACAAAATTTACGTTCTTAAGCGGCTAAAATATCCTACATGAATAAATGATTTAGGAATTTATTTATATGTATAGATAATTAGGAATATCTGCGTTTATCAGTTTCCAAACAGGCTGCATTGAACGCATATCATGGATATGTTTCTTCCAAGCTATCCTATGGATTAATAATATGGGGAAATTCTGTGGATGCTACTAGGGCATTTATCGTGCAAAAGAAATGTATAAGAGCTGTGTGTGATGCCAGAGTAAGAGAAAGTAGTCGATCTCTTTTTAAAAAATTAAACATCCTTCCATTGCCATGTATGTATATTAAAGACATTTGTATATTTGTAAGGGAACATCCTGACTATTTTAAGAAATTAACAGACACAACACTGCGAGTAACGAGACCTAATGATAGACCTAGATGTGTATAACACCAATGTGTCGATTAGACTTACATAAGAGAAATGTATACTGTATGGCAATCAAAGTGTACAACAATCTTCCAAGAGAGATTAAAGAACTGGGGTCTCATACGTTATTCAAACGCAAACTAAAGAATTGGCTGTCACTTGGTAATTTTTACAGTGTCCAAGAATATTTGAGTGGCACAAGCGCCATCACGTAATTTGCATGCCTGTATGGTAAATATTGCTGATCAATGGATTTCATGTGGCATCGTATTAATTATAGTACTGTACCAATATTTCGCAAATAAATTATTTCATTTCATTTCAAAAAAAAATTTCATTTCATTTCATTTCATTTCAATATCTCCGTCATATACACTGTACAGCAGAGCAAAGCCAGGTTGCATGACTAGCTAGTAATTCCAATAAGATGGCGGTGCCTACAGATGCGAGTTCGCAGACTCCGTCAATTTATCAACGAGTGACGCATCTACTTGTTTATTCGTAATGACCGCAACGAGATGCCTTACTAATATTATAAACGGAAAAGTTTGTAAGTATATATGGATGTTTCTTACTCTTTCACGCAAAAACTACTGAACAGAATTTGATGAAACTTTACAGTAATATAGCTTACTAGCTGTCCCGGCAAACGTTGTTTTGCCTTAAATTAAAAAAAAATTATGGGTGGACTACTCCTAACATTTAGGGGGATGAAAATTGATGGTGGCCGATTCTCAGAACTACTCAATACGCTCACAAAATTTCATGAGAATCGGTCAAGCCGTTTCGTAGGAGTATGGGAACGAAAATTGTGACACGAGAATTTTATATATAAGATGTATCAGAATAATGTACGCTTTAATTTAAAATGATATTATGTAAATTGGGTGATATATAACGATAAATGTTAAGTGGGATGCAGACGAAGTCGCACGGGTCAGCTAGTATGTATGTGTATAGACGACAGTGACCACTTACCATCAGGCAGGATGTATGCTTGATAGCAATCCTTATAGAAAGTAGAAAATGTACTGCGATACTACAGTCAAAGTACCAGGACAACATGAACCACTAGATAGTCTGAAGTATAAAATGTTATAGTTGAATTACAGCAGAGTACAGCGTAATGAAATATTATAACTATGGG